CAACAATCTGTTTGAAAACAAATTTGCACAAATGCACACTCAACACTTCTGACTATCTATTTAAACTGTGTATGTTGCCAGTAGCTGTGATTTTTCAAACTGTAAATATCAATCCCATGGAAGACACTCTCCTAGGTATCACTGAATCTCAGTACGAATGAATGTGCATCAGGAATGCTTAGATGGTGACTAAAGCAGTTCCCCCCATTTCAAATGTTGATATTGTCACTGACACTGCAGACTGCCTTGCCTGCTGTCACTAAGATGAGAATATTCTAGCTGCCTCAGACTTCATAATTTTAATTGACTATCCTTAACTTGTCTGAACAGAAAAGCCTTTCAAAAAGTTTTTAGTACTGTAGAGGAGTGATGACTGGAATACTGTCACTACTGTCTTTGTTGGCTAGATAAGTAAAAGATTCGCGTCTCTAAAATTAACATTTTCATTAGTACTTCAAATACCAACACTTAAATATACAGAGACGAATGTGCTAAATTTAGCAAAGTATAACACACTACCAAGTGTATGTATATTACTCCCTCTATTGGACCAAATCTGCATAGTTATTATCCGCACAGCAACTGCTGGCCTACAAAGTATACATACATACCTTTTATCATCTCAAAACGCTGATCTTTATATCATTTATGGTCAGTTTAGCTACACAAAAATTCTATCTCTATGATGTATTTATTTGCATAACCCCAGGCTAAAGGATCCCAACTTTGGAAACAAATTTTGAATGCCAAAGATGAAGACACATGTCTGACCAGTGTGTAATACTGTATAAATATTGCAAATCAACAGACTTTTCTCAAAAGTCAAGTTTTTCTCACATCTTGCAGCACGACATCCCTGCCTTCCTGGCAGGTAGACAGAAGTCTTTCCTGTCCCTTTCTGTCTCTTCCCAGGTGTCTCACCTGCTCGCAGGAGGCAACATCCAAAATGCAATCCTGCTTTATCATACACTGGCTTAAGACAGGACATGAGGAACTTCAGGTTAGACACTGGAACAGGTTGCCCAGAGAAGCTGTGGCTGCCCCATCCCTGGAGGGGTTCAAGGCCAGGCTGGACGGGGCTTGGAGCAACCTGGTCTGGTGGGAGGTGTCCCTGCCCAGGGCAGGGGGGTTGGAACTCAATGATCTTTAAGGTCCCTCCCAACTCTAACCATGCCATGATTCTATGATGACCTGTGTGGACATGTGAAAAGGATCTTATTCCTGAGGCCTAGAAAATAATATACTTCTAAACTTTTTGGTTAAGCAGAACATCGGTACTTTCTCCCATGGGAAGAGTCCTACTATAATTCATATAATTGATTCTTAAATCCCAAAGACATCCAACAACAAGGTATATAGTGACTATTCTACTATAAAATTTACATAAACCCTTTTGCTATTTAATACAATCTTTGGGTTTATATTAATAGTAATGCATCACCTCAAGATGCCTGTACAATTATAAAAATAAACTCAAAAACACCTTGACAGCATTCCCCTCTAAAAAGGTTAGACTGTAACACCAGAACATAATCATCTTAATTTCAAAATCTCATTACCAAGAAGGTTATTTGCTTCACAGTAGAGAGGCTATCACTAATTACGCAGTAAACAAAGGAGAAAATGTTAAGTTATGAGAACTGGCAATCCCTGAAACCCATACTATGAAGATGTGCATTACAATCTGACTAAAACTCCCTGCTGCAGCCTTTGCACTCCTGGTCATCATCGTTATTTAATCTCTGTATCTCTAATCTCTTGAAGCAACCTTTCCATGCTCAGCACATACTTATCTGCATGACAGAAGCAATCAGAAAGAAAAAGCAGCACTTTTAACATGCTGTAAAAACTCCAGCAGATGGCACCTAAAGACAACATGACCCACTACTTCAGCATTAGCATAACACACTTTTTTAGCTGTAAGGATAAAAAAAAAAAAAAAAAAAAAAAAAAGGAACTTTCAAGTTTCAGGATTTTAGCATCTAGTATATAAAACTGTGATTCACTAGCCTATGTTTTAGGAAAATAGAAATGTTTATAAATTGTATATTTGACTGATACCAAATGATGAAAGAAAAAAGGCTAGAAAAAGGGTGAAATTACAACACTTATGCTCTCTCCTCCAAAAATCTTCCTCTTTAGTGAATGCAGGTACACACCACTTATTTTTAGCACATTTTTTCCCATTTTGCCCCCTTCAGTTGAAAATCTCCATCCTCTGTATTCTAAAGGAGTTCTCTTTTCACTAAGAGCTATACTCAGAAGCTTCATCTTTCTTGACATCTCATCCCTGCTAGTTATAATGAATAAAACTTCACAACATACATGTGTGTTAATGAATATCCACATTTCATCTCTCCCAAATTAAATACATATACTGGCTTTAACTCTGAATAATGGCATTAATAACCTATCAAAATGTTTATCAATAGGCTATCCTTGCTTCCCATACAAACATCCTTAAAACTGTAACATTTATACAGCAGAAATCTTTGTGCATCACCTATATACCAAAACATTATTTAGAGTATTTCTAGAACATTTTAGGGTAGTATGAAGCATGCCACTGCCCATGAACAAATAATCACTAGGACTGTTAACACCACTTCATGAAAAATATGTGTCAGTCATAAAAACAGATGCTTCCAGTAAAGATCCAATATTTTCCTATTTCTCAATTCTTTTGAAAGAATTCTTTTTAATTCTTTTTCCTTAATGCTTCTAAAAGCAAATACTTTTCCTTATCATGCCCTATATAAGGAATACACTATACAAAGTTAAAATTGGGCTTTAAAGTCATGAGAATCTTACCGGTTTTCTGGTACCCCTTCTCTTCCACTATATCTACACTTACACATTTTGATATACCTACATTTTTATTTTCCCTACTGAATACTAACTAATAATATTTTATCTAATCTTCTTTAATAGTTAAGAGGTGGGAAAGCAAGGGTGTGCTTGACAATGTAGCAGCAAGACAGTAGTTACTCTGCTGTGGAGATGGAAAAGGCTCAGAGAAAAAGTCCAAATCCAGTTATTCAAAGTATTATTAATTAAAAGTATGTCAATATTACCCCAATGACAAAATGAATTGTATCAATAAAAGGGAAGATAGATTAGAGCATTAAGAGAGACAATCAGATTCAAATAAAATACTCTGGGGTTTTTTCATCTTCACAGATAAACAGAAACTTATTTTTGGAAAGATAAGTGGAAACACTGGGCCTCCTGCTGGTTTCAAAAGTAGAGCTCCCTGCAAAATCTGCACAAGCACGGTTTTGCTTTCAAAATCAACACACAAAGACCTAGGTAAGGAAGGGTTATTGACTTTTACTATATTAAATATTCACAAATTACTGGGGGGGTGGGAGCAGAGAAGAGACACACTTGCAGGTGCTGTGTTCACCTAATGCTTAGACTCTCACTTCACATTGTCACGTAGAACCAAATATGATGGTAGCTTTGTCTAAACCACTAAGAACTGCAGGGGGGGGTGAGGCGGGAGGATGGAATCTTATTATCAGAGTTCTCATCTGATCGGTGACCATTCCAAATACATGTGTTCCATTCACAAAATATGCAACTTATACTGCTCTTATACTGGTACTGGTATTTTAATAACGTAAACACACTACGTACACTGCAATTGATTTTGACTCGAAGTCAGAGCACATTCCCTAAACAGCACACAGGATAATAAAATACTGAAGGACTCCTGCCACTATCTCGAACCAGCAAATGTCTGTAGATCTGCTAAACTTAAAAAAACCAAACACATTCACATCAGTATTGGCTCCCAGCACAGAGCACTACACCTGAGCACACAGAAGTCCACTCCTAGAAATAGGTAATATCAAACTTTTCATTTTGTTCAAGGGAAAGCTTTAAAAACATGGAATTTACTCCAGAGCACATAGCAGTTCCTTAGGGCTTGAGTTCCATTAGTACTGCAGTGTACTTTTCACCTCGTTTTAAGTGAATTTACTGATCATAACTAACCTCCACAGCCCCTGCAGTCATCAAACCTTTACCAAAAGCACCAACACAGCACCACTCTAAGGTTGCTCAAAACACTTCAAATCACGTCAAATCCAGCCCAGGAGTCCTGCCAGAAGCCCAAGAGGGTTTTTTGGCCTGTTTTGACCTCTCTTCAAGTAATCAGCAATGCCCCTCACAGCTCCCTAGGGCTGAACAGGGTTTGTCATGTTTAATGGAAACATAGCTAAGGCTAACAGAATACTTTTGTATGAAATAGCAACCAGACGACGTTAGTGACAGATCTTACCCCCAAATGCAAATAAAGCATAGAAGGGTTATGGGTGGGAACCCAACAAAAAAGCCCCACCCTATAATCTTGAGCATCAGATATGCTGAGCCGTAGCTATCTATCAGAAAGCTCCACGAAAATTAAGTTTTCCCTATCACCAGCATCCTTTCATCCTCAGTAACTCCTTCCCTTATTTCACATGTCGCCTGAGGACAAACCGCTAAAAAACAATTTTGAGGACAACATCTTCCTCACTTCTTTTAACAAACGCTACTTCAGAGCCTAACGTGCTCCTTAAACACCGTGAAATAAAACGGCTGGGTGAAACCCACACCGCCTCCCAGCTGAACTCAGCTACGCTGGAAGCACCGCCCGCATCTCGAATTTGCACCGCCCGCATCTCGAATTTGCACCGCCCGCATCTCGAATTTGCACCGCCCGCATCTCGAATTTGCACCGCCCGCATCTCGAATTAGCACCGCCCGCATCTCGAATTTGCACCGCCCGCATCTCGAATTTGCACCGCTCGCCCTGGATGTCGGCAGGGGCGGTATTTACCTCCGTCCCCGCCCCGTCAAGGGGAGGTGCCTGCCCGGCCGTAGCCCCCGGGCGAGGTCGGGGCGCGGCGGGAGGATGGGAAGGAGCAGGCCTCCCCCCGAGAGCGAGCCCGTAACGCCCGGCATGGAGGGCCCCGAGCCCGGCCGGTCTCCAGTTCAACCGCCGTTGCCCCGGGGGGGCTGGCGGGGAGCGCCATGGCCGAGCAGCGCCCGCCGCGGCCGCTCTACTTTCCCCACTTCCACGACCGCGCCGAGCCCTTCCCGTCTCCGGCCGAGGGCCTGCGGACGCCCTTCGAGGCCGTGTGCGGGCCGCGGCAGCCCCCGCCGGCCGCCTTCGGGGCGCTCCGCTGGGCCGCGGGGCTGGCGGCCGTCCCCTACGAGCCGCTGCGCTTCTTCTGCCCGGCGGCGGCTGCGGAGGAGGCGGGGGTCGCGGCGCGGAGGCCGGAGGAGCAGCTGGAGGGCGAGATCTGCGAGTTAAGCATCCGCCTTAAGGAGCTGGAGCTGCTGGCCCTCATCGGCGACGGCTTCGACGCCCAGCAGTGTGCGTGTCTGCCCCCCGGGGCCAACGGGCAGGGAGCTGGTGGCCCCCACGGCCGCCTCCCAGCCTCAAAGGCAACAGGTTGCTCCAGCAATAACGACCTGAAAGGCCATCAGCCGAGGCAGGCTGGCGGATCTCTGTACCCACAGCACCGTCAGCCAGCCCAAGGGGACAGGGCACTGCTCCTGGTGGGGTCTGGCGTGGGGCTCCCCGGGCTTGGTGGCCAGCACCTAACTGTACCCTGCCCCAGGAGCACACGGGGTGTGTGGAGCCCCTTGTCCCCCATCATCTACCCCGGTCACAAGTCACAGGTGGCACAGGAATTAGGGATACACAAAGGAACAAAACCTCAGAAAGTCATAAACCCTCTAAAATCATTAAGTGCTAGCAAAAAAACCCCAACAATTCAGAGGCTGCTCAAATCAGAAGGCGTTTGTACGTGGAAAACATACCCACCACTAATGAGATCCTACAGCTGTAAATCAGCATTGATGTAAAATAAAGGTCACTGATGGCCACAGATAGTTATAGGCATAAAAAGAAGAGTTAAGTTAGTCTGGCATTTTCATTTTAAAACCAACTGGCTATGAAAGAAATACAGGAAATAAAATAGTTCAGGAGATAGTGATTACTGAGAGTTCCCCTGGGGAGGAACCTTAAGGGTGGGATGCTCCTAATTTCTTTCAAGGCCACAGGCTGATAGTGATTACTGAGAGTTCCCCTGGGGAGGCCAACAACCTTAAGGGTGGGATGCTCCTAATTTCTTTCAAGGCCGCAGGCTGCCAGTCAGGAAGCTTTCAGAAGTGCAGAGGTTACAAGAACACAGAAAAAATGTCCATCAGATATACACATTCAAAGGAAAATCTCAAATTGTGATAGGTATTTTGCATGCATTTACTTTTCAGAACAGGAAATTAATAAGTCTTTTCCTTTGTCGTACCAATACATACCTTTTTCCATTTCAATACCTACTATTTTCATTACATGTGAGAAACTTTAGTTTTCAGATATTTGCTAGACAAGAAATTGTAAGGAATATTACTAGTTTGCTTAACACATTATTACATTTCCTTAAAAGCATTAATGATAAAATTAATGACAAATTATGTTTCATTCTTTTTAGATAAACTTCTGAAGGCACTGAAAGAAGAAAAGTTACGAGCCATGAAAGCAAGGCAGAAGCTGAAGAAATAGCCACCAAAACATTAAGAAATTAACACTGCTGATGTCAGGATACCTAGCAGTCCATTGATATCAAGATACACGTAGCAGGGAAACACCGTAATTCCAATACAAAATACAGGGGCTTTTTTTGTTTTAATTCTGACTACATTAAGTGCGACTGAGAGTAAATAGATGTGGCCAAAAGCCTTATGCCTCTAAGCAAGCTTTAGAAAACTACTTTCACGTTAGCATAAAAACCTTTGTTACAAACTATCACAGTGTATTCATTTATTGTCTTTAGTGTACCACAGAATTACACAAGTTATTGATTGAGTTAGTTTTTAACAGAGTAGTTCACCTAACATTGATTTTCAACTAACGTTTTACTATTATTTTAGGGCTAGTAGTGCTTAAGCTAAAACTCATGGCAGTCTTTGGAGCAACAACATCCTTATATTTGGAAGGCCTGTCCTTTCATGAGGAAAAAAATGGACCGAGACAGCGATAACAGATTGAAGATCTAGATAATATCTGCCATTAAAAAAAGTAACGCCACATACGGCATCAAGAATAACCTAACAAAGTAGTAAATGGACTCATCAGACTGATAAAAAAATACCAAGTACTTTTTCCTGTTCTAATTTAAAAAAGCAGTAGGTGGCAGCATGAAATAATAGTTACCAACCCTGAAGCTATTATATTTTGGCAAGCAGCTTTTTCTTTAAAAAAAAAAAAATTTTAGTCTTTTTTTAAAACTGCATGTGAGTTGCTTAACTGTGAAGCATTTTAACACAATATGATATCAAAATTCTATTTCCTATTACCGCTTATTACAGCATTCACTCTTTTACTATCTTAATCTTTCCAGCCAGATTTCATTCAACTCTACACAGTGTTTATATTAAAAAACTACTGAGTTTATAACTCCCATTTGTCAATCAGCAAACTATAATAATGACATTTTATCAGAGCAGCTAGCAAATCTTAAACAGGATCTTACCATCTGCAACTGCTGTTGTTAGCCGGGTGTCTCTGCAGGTATGGCAATTCGTGGTTTCATCTGCTAATAAATGTTGGTCTTTAATCAAACAAAGCCTGAGGGGGACTGAGGGAAGCTCAGTAAGGCCAGGCTTTGTCCAACGCCCCAGCATGCCTTAGGCGGGGCCTTAGACAAGGCCTTAGGCAGACGCCCCAGCATGCCTTAGGCGGGGCCTTAGGCGGGGCCTTAGGCAAGGCCTTAGGCAAGGCCTAGGACCAGGCCTCAGGCCTGTCAGCTGCATTATTCACTCCAATATAAAAATCCTCTCCCTTCAGCTTTCTTAAATCTACTCTTCAGACACACCTTGGCACCATTTCATTGCTGATTAGCTCTTTCAAGCCAAATTAATGACACTGTGGTTCTGGCTAAACAGTTGTTTTCACTAATTGGTGTATTTTAAGCTGTTTTACTCCAGCCAGCCCATCACAAGTAACTTCCAAAGTAGGCTTCTTAAATGAGATATTTTTTACACCTGCTGGGGAAATTATCACACAACCACTGATGATTTATCTGTCTTTCCAATCATGACTCAGAGGCTGAGGCAGTGAATATACAAAATGTAGATCTAGGTGGGTAAAGAACCAAATTTTTACCAAAATAAGTTGGAAATCTGGGCTTTGGTGTTTTAAAGCTCCCTATGCAGAATGAGGTTTAAAAATCTCTCAGAGTTTTGAGGCTAAACCTATGAAAAGATACTGTTCATTACTATGAAAATGTGAAATGTATTAGTGCATAAACTAAGTATCAGAAGACAAACTTGGACAGGACAAAAGGGGCCAACATATGGGGGCCTTCAAAGGCTTTACGCAGAAATAAGAGCTTTTAAATCAAGTTAGGTAGCAGAGGAACCATCCCTGGAGGTTTTCAAAAGATAGGTTGACATACTGCTTAGAGACATAGTTTAGTAATGGGGGGGAAGGGGTTTATATGGTTTTCTTTTGGTTTATCAGTTAGGTTGATGGTTGGACTAGATGATCTTAAAAGTCCCTTCCAACTTAGACAATTCTATGACCCTGTGATAAATCTCCAGAATAATTTCACTGCTAAACCACTCTTAAGTTTCCCTCAGTTAATAGGAGGGCCTACACAGATTTCCATTGCATACGATCACCACTTCCTAACTTACTTCCCCTCACGTTTTACCAGCTCTTTCACTTTGTACCCAGCTCTCATCAGACATTGTTCACTCAGATTTTCTTTGTTTAAACAGAGCTACTTCTCGCAGCACACAGTTTAAATCTTTTTCCATCTGTTGTTTAGTTTTTGTCATATGGTCTTTATGCTAAAACAACACTTCCTGTACAATTATCAGGCGATAATGGAAGGAATAACATCAGTTAATACGTAATCTCAATTAAAGTTACCTAGGGACCCACATCTACTCGAAAAAAATTCTTTTGAGTCATGTGCCAAAACAAGGCAGAATGGTTTCCTTTGGCTGGTGTCAGCCATGACACGCTGCTATCAGGATGCTTTGGTCAAAGTCTTTTCACTGAAGCATCTCAGTGTTCCAAGAAGATCATTCAAGGATGGTGGCTATCTTCACTGGAAAACCAATTTGGCCTTCTGTGTGTGAAGCAACACCTACAAAAGTAACTTAGAGATTGCAGGGGGAACATGGGACATACAATGAAATATATCTGCCTGGAAAGAATCACTGTTTGTACTTTCAGTTGGAAATATTAACACATTCATGTGCATGAATTTGGCAAGAGAGTAATAAGCTTATATTAATATAGCCTAGACAAACAACTAGTTAAACATAACCGCGCATATGTTGGTTCTCCTTTGCCCATGAACATTTTATTTGCTTTATTTTTCTTTTCTGTTTCCACCTGACCTTTTACCTGCAGTAATTTGCTTTCATCTCTAGGCTTATAGGATTTTTCCTTTCAAATCATTGCATTTCAAAGCTGTTGTGTTTATTGTTTCCGTCTTAAAAATTAAACATATGTTAAAATAGATTGGCCATTCTTACTACATTATTTTTATTCACAAAGCATACATCATCCATTTTTCATTTTTTTTCTGCTCTTTTAGACTGTTTAGGGAAGGCTAAACTTGACATTTAGACGCTGGCACAGCTCCAATCTCTTTCCTATACCTCTCTTGTGACTCAACAAATCTATCATTCAAGAAAGCAACATTTGGCTACAAATTTGATTCATGGGCAGAGATCTCAAAACATCAGTAGGTTGCTCCCATTTCCAGTTCTTAACAAAGGCGGCTTCTCAAAAAGCAGAGTGTCACGTCGTGTCAGCCAACCTGAGGGCTGAGCAATGACAGCTGTCTCGCTCAAAGCCGCGTCTACACCTACAGTGATACTCATGTGCTCCCCAAGGATTGCCCTCAGGTCTTTCGCATCGGAAATCTGAAGCGGCTTTGGCTGCTTTATGATGGGAAAATTAGATCCAAAGCCATTTGAAAACAAGAATGCATTTCAGCTTTAAAGTATTTTATGCCAAACAGTTGGGTCCATCAAATTTCAGACTGCTTTATTTTAGAGTTTGCTACATTAAAATTCTCCCAACAGATACTCAGCCTTATTACAATGGATCATTAGAATGTAAATTAGTCTTGAAGTCAAGCTGCCTTAATTAGCTCAGGGACAGATTACAGAGGAAATCCAAAAGCGCTAAGCTATCATAAAATGATTTTTTTGTTTTCAGTGGTGAATGCTACACAATAGATTCACCTGAAAATTCAGGAGCTAAATCTCAACATAAAGCAGGGAAATCAAGAGCAGCACTTAACTCTAGGAAACTTGTCCTCTTTTGTTTGTTTGGGAGGTAGTGTTTCTTAAGATCACTGACATCTAGAGGTGCCATAAGAGGTGCTAATCAGGAAGCAGTCCACAAGTGGTGTTTTTTACAGTTGGACTCAATGATCTTAAAGGTCTTTTTCAGCCTAAATGATTCTATGATTTGGCCTTTCTAAGGAAACATATGATATTAATAATACGACTCAGTTGTTTAATGTTACACACTGAAAACATACATTCGCGAAATAGGCTGAGATTTTGGTATAGCTTGAGAAAAGCTAGAACAACCCCTTGAAGCAATTTAAGCACTCACAGTCACAATTTACATATATATAATTGTATCTTAAGTATACCATCTGTCCAGAACTTTAGTAGTGATACGTACACTAAGAAGCTCATTTATCCTCTATTTTGGGAAGATCCTTTCTTTCCTGCCTCTTGTTTTCTCTGAAACTGCGAACAGAGGGAGGAAGGATTAGATACGTTCCTTGTAGTAATATGAACTTTTTAGTCCAAATTTTTTGCATCACAAATTACGTACAACGGCACTGTCAAAAGCACATACCTGCATTTTCCTTTTTCTTGCCATTTCACTTCAGACTGACAGCAGGAAACTTAGGCCTGAGTAAATACCAATAAAAACCACAGTAACTGACTTTAATAGGGGAAGGCATAGAGGACATAAAGGTGAGAAGAAAAATGCACAAAGGCAACACAGGATCACAAGGTGTCCTCAGAACTCATGGGCTTGCTGGTTACTGTCCTGCTCACCTCTGTAAGGCAGGCAAACAGCTTTCTTCAGAGGGAATGCCACCGCTGAATTATATGAGTTTAACTTCTGGAATTCTTAAAACTCCTTTCTTGTCCTTTGCCAGGTTCTTCCTCAAGAGCATGAGCAGCAGGACCCCTAAACAGCCCTTGCAGCTCCAAGGGAAAAGTATGCTCATGCTTTAAAGCAGCTGGTCTACAGAAAAGGACACGGCAGGAACAACCAATAGGTAGCAACATAGATTTTAAGACATATTTTATTTAATGTGCAAAATTGCCAAGAAAAAACATGTACAACTTCAACTAAGCTATAGCCACTAACATGAAAGAAACTATTCTATGTACTCATAAGCTTCATTCTAGAATCACCCTATGGTCCAGAGTAAAAACACAGCCATTTGGTAATGACCCAGAACATTTTAAATGCCTTCTTTTCAGTGATATGTAAAATTCTACCATTAGTATAGTTTCATGTTTGTAATTGCAAAAGGAAGCAGTTCTTGGAGATTTCCCTTCTGATTGCATAGTATAAAATTTTAATTATTTTCTTCCTCTTTTAGTTTAATCCCTAAACTTGACTTTACAAATCACTCTCAATTTTGCAGCTCTTATGACTTCGGAAAATTAATTTTCCCATTTACAGCTGAAACACTTATAAATTTTGAGCTATTTTCACGGACACAGTCATTACAGTTTAGTTGAATCAAGCTGTGACCAACAAAGATACATGGATATTTGTAATCATGCAGAGCTAGTCCTTTCCATAATTCAAAGACGTAAGAAAAGTTAATTTCATCAGAAAGTGAGATCTGTTGCATGGGAAGCGAGACAATTTATTGGTATAACATCTCTGTAAAAAAGTGTAGAAGCTATTACTGGAAAGGCTTCCTAGAACATCCTGAAATAGCATCAAGAGGTTTGGTTTGGGTTTTTTTTTTTTCTTGTAAATTTATGTATGTTCAAATGCTACCAGAGCAACAGGCAATTTACAGTTTTGAACAATTACCAAGCTCCATGAAATAATAAATAATGCTTTGTACTAAATGGTTTTAGTTTTTCTAACATTATCAATTGCTTCAACCTCTCACCAGGGATGTGAGGAGAGGCAGTCCCTTCATCCTGCTTTACAGACACGACACTGAGCCATAATCAGATTAAGCACCTTGCTCAGGACCAATCCAAAATTACAAAGATGGGACAACCGGCCTCTTATCTCCTAATTTCCAGCTACCAGTAACTAGGTAGCATCCTTCCTATCTTCGCAAAATTTCAAGATAATTGTGATAGTTAATTCACTGAGAGAATACTGGATGACCCCTGCTCTCCTTAAAGTGAGCAGGTGTTTTGCCAATAACTTCAATGGAAGACATTATCTATGTTCATGTCACCTTAATACTAATATGACATCTGAAAGTATCACTAAGCAGAAATTAGGCCAAAGCCACGCAGTGCCATAGCTAATTAAAAATTATATCACATATGTTGGTTACTACTTCTATCACATCAGCAGTATATCAGCGAGCTAAAGAGTGCACCTCTTTGTGTACACCAATCTAAAAGTCAAATTCAGAATGCACAGTTATGGCAAGAAAGACGTTATATGAAAATAAAAAGTTGAAGAACACAAGAATACCTGCACTGTACACATGTCCTTTCTAACAAGCCCCAGAGAACTGCCCAGAATAGACCCTTTGTTGGGTCTGAGCTGTTTCTGCTGGGTTGCTAAATTCTAAACCAAAATTCTAGCCTCAGTAAGATGGGTTCTTATTTTCCAAAATGTTTGGCTTCACTGTAATTTTTTCTATCAAATATGACCTTCAATACAGTTTGAAGAACCCAACACCAACGTGAAATGAAAAAAGCCTTCCCAGTCTCTGCCACAGAAAGAAATATTAAAATTAATTTGGTGGGAAGTAAAGTGGTTTTTTTCCTACTTGCAGTGTTGAAAATAGTAGATACAGGCAAGGGCAAAGAATAAACCTCAGGTTTACTTACATTCGGATATCCTGTGTTTATAACTCTGGAATAGAATCCACTGTTAATGTTGCTATTTCTGCATTGTTTTAACAAATGAAGAAATCAAAAGCTAACCAAATACATGAAATTGATTCCAAGCATTTAGCTTCAAGACTCTTTGACTTGCCATAGTAATCAATTCATAATTACTTAGTGTCCATACACTGCTGAAATAAAAGGTTTACTACCTATTCTTCTATACAGTCACTCGCTTTCTAGATCCTGGTGAATCCCTGGCATAAGCTGCTGTATCACATCTCAGAGTATCTATTGGCGAAGTTTGCTGGTGATGCAGGACCTAACAGCCACTGATTCCTTGCAAAAAGCCAGACTTACGGACCCAGAAAATTCTAGTTTAATAGTTTAAAATATTAATCCTATACCCAGGCGCTCTTTACAAGGTCCCACTGGGGGCTGCGAAAGTCAGTGCTCTTTGCCAGATACACTGGCATCAGTTAAAATCTCATGTATGTTACGGTGTTCAAACACTGGGTTTCAAAGCATAGAAACACATTGAGCTGCAGGGATGAGGGATATACTTTGGATGAAAAGAATTGAACTCCTCTCTAAATACTGTACTCAGTGGAATCATTTTCCTGTATAATATACAATCCTTTGGACTATTATTGCCTAGTATGTAAATATGTATTTATAAAGTTAAAAAATTATTTACAGAATGTAATATAGTATCAAGCTGCTCACTGGGAATGAATTGAGCATGGAAATTTCATGAAAAGTCAGGCACTTCTTAAAACAAGAATTATTTTTAACAATTGCAAAAAAAAATTAATTTCCTGGAACATTTCTTCATAGTATTTCTAATTATTTTCTAGACATATGCTGTAAATTTGACCATTTAACTGTTTAAAACTCATTTCTCATCTTTCATGAGCTTCACAAAAGAAAAACCCTGGGAACTGACTCCTCATTATTGCTTCTGTGCACCTTAAAGAACCTCAAATGAATAGGGACAAATAGGTGGATGAAAGAACTAGTTTTCAAAAAATATTTTTTAGATATATATAGGAGTATGATACCTTCTATTATTCTATTCTATAGAATACCTTCTATTGAAAATCCCTAAGGATTTTCAATGGTACCAAGGTGATTTTAAAAACATGAAATATTATATTATTTTGGGGCATCTCAATAGTTTTAAAAATCAGGACCCAAACCCACCTTCCTGCCACACTACTTTGGTGGCTGTAGTTTTTACATCTGTTGGAACTAAGGGCAACCCAGAGGGCAAATATGTTACATAGGGTAGTCTACCTACCCCAGACACCCACTGAAATCCCTGTCCCATCTCCCATGTCTTGTGTACAGCCTGTTCCTGGATAACAGGAATTCCCTGATTCACAGCTTTCTCATTGCTTTTCACTGATTGGGCACACCAAAACATTTTTGATGACGGATGCGTGATGCAGTTAGTCTCAGTAGAGATTCTGCAGTATTTACCAGGTTTGCCTTTCTGACATGGCCATCTTGAAACATTCTTTTAAAGAGCATGTCAGTACCCAATTAATTTACTGACCTATATAAATCTCATTTCCATGAACCAAGTTTTGCATTATTTATTTACAAGAGAAAGGCAAGAGTTCAAAAAAAGCGTTCTAAATGAATGTACTCTTATCCTCATTTTGCATGCCTACATTTTAAAATGGAAAAATAGAACTTTGAAATATTTTTATAAGAAAAAAATAAAATATCCTACTCAGTCCTGGAGTTATGGCCAAAAATTAACCCATGAAAAGGAAGTCCAGCACAGAAAGTGCAAGTTACCATTTGACATACTTATTCCATATAGCACCATTACAAAGTCTACAGTGCTATGTCTAAATAACGTTATAGTAAAAAACTTGAGTTGATTCATTTCTCTTTCAACAAACGCTGCTTTGAAAACGTGCATCTGGAATGGTTCGCAGAGAACTCAGTAGATGTTATTTGCCCCATATACTTATTACCCCATATAACTTATTATTAATTAATGTCTGTCTTACTCAAAAAACCTGTGTGCTTGTACCCTTTTATGGAGGGGCAATAAGTGGTGAGAGGAGAGATCTGCTCCATTAGCCCCAGCAGCACACTGAGCAGTTGCCCTGCACACTCTGACTAGTGAGCAGTCCTGATCTTTGCATTCCAAACTTTCCCTTTTTCAAAAACCCTTTTTTTTAAAAAAAAAAAAAAAAGAAAAAAGGGCTAATGGTATTAATATACTAACGTACTGTATGATCATGTCTTTTTTCCCCCCCGCAGTGATGTAGTAAAACATATATAAGGTGCCATATAACTTGGCGTTTTATTACAAGAGACTACTCTTGAGTAACTGGAAACCACTCACGTTAATTATACCACTCTCATGTGGAGCCTACACAGAGAAAGCATATGGCTTACAGAAAGAAGTGGAAGCATGAATTGATACACTCTCCTGTGATGGGACTGAGCCTTAATTTATACATTTTGGTCATTGACAATGAAAGGAATGCATCTTGCCAAGGAAAGCTGCCAAACACAACCATTTTCTAGTGGGTATGAGTGTTAACATGCAACTCAAGATCCACAGTTTCCAGCCTTTTAAGGTTCTCCTGACCTGTTAATATCCCTCACATTATCTCACACTTGTTCTCTGCTTATCCCATTTCATATCAATGAGCTATGGGAAGCCACTGAGATTTGTTTACGTGCAAGAAATGCAAGGTCAGGACTGTAACTGATTTACAGCATCCTTGGACACAGCGCTCGGAGTTGCTCAGATGTATATACAGGATGAACAAGGCCAGCAAAATGAAGTGACTTCTCCTGCTAGCTCAGAAAACTTTCTGCTTTCAAGCTCCTTAGACTTTCACAAGGGCTAACTGCTAGCTATTTGCAGTGTGGGACTAAAAAAAGTGCATTAAAATGTAATTCATTCTTTACAGCCAGATATCTTGAAGTATAACAAAACCTGTAGTTAGTTCTGTCACCCCTTAAACAAGGCAGGGGCCTCACTTCAGTTCTGCCACTCAATTCAATGCTGCTTTTTTCCACCTGCTTTGCATTTCTATTTTACATTTTCTTTCCTCCATGTCTCACCTTAGTTAGTCTGAAAAAGAAATTATCATTACTTATGATAATTTTCGCCATTTCTATATAGAGGATTTACATGCACTTCTATCAAGTTCTATCCATGATATTATTAGATAAAAAGATTATTCATATTTCTAAACTGAGTGCTGGAGCTTCTCTCAAATCCAGATAATACATTTTTCTCAAAAAACAACTGTCAGACTATCCTCTTATCCTCTTAAAGCTACTGTTCTACTCATATTAATAAATATCACACATACTATTCCTACTGTCAGTGGTCATGACACACAGACTGAGAAGTAATTTTTACGTGTGTTTCATTTGCAGATGTTTCCACTGATGATTTACAAATCTGAAGACAAATAGTGGTCAGAACAGCAACATTTTTGTACACAGAAAACAATATTCTCACCTAAAAATTTAACATCATTTTAAAGAAAATCAGGGCATTTAGTAGAAAAATCTTAATGACTAACTTTTTATCAGTAAAAATGGCATGAATATATTTTGATGAGGTTATAAATTTAAACAGGTATACTTTCTTCTTTGAAATCAATATTGAAAAACTATATTGTAATTGTAGCCATACAAAATGTTTATTATATTACAAATTCTTTGTACACTATATTTTCACTTTATCATTGCTTTGTGCTCAGACAGTATAAATATTACAGCATGGTTTTTCTTTCCCAGGAATGTCCTTACTGTCTTGATATAATCTGACTTTGTACTTAAAAAAAAATACAGAAACATATTACAAACAAGATAAAAAGCCATTATGAAGGAAGAATGTAAAATGTCTTTGTGAAAAAAGTGGACCACAATGGTTTCAGAGTGATGGTTGAAGGAATATTCAGTAGACTGCACATTGTCAATACAATACCAAACAAAATTAATTTTGAAAATCTAATAGGTCTTCCTCAGTAGTAGGAAGAGTACTTCGTTTAACTTTACAGAAATGGGTTTTCTTTCTAGAAGACTATTTAAATGTTTTTATTTGGTGTTTTTCTATTTGTTCATTTTGTTTGCATGTAGGCATTCAAACCCTGTACATTTTCATAACTTCCAAACTTTTTAATTTCCAGAATGGCAAGATATATGCTTTATTATATAAGATATATGGAGGCTTTACCCTCACATATTTTTGACAGATCTACTGAATTGATTAAATTTATGAACAGGTGCAGATTAACAAACAGAGCTAAGCGTCCCAAAGATGCTGTTTAAATCTGGTGCATCCTACCACCTCTGACTCTTTCAGGAGTATATCATAACATGACCTTTTCCAGCTGTTTGGCTTCAGCATTCCCATCCACGTGACTGCTGCTGGCTCCATACTTGCAGCTTCTGGATAACTCTGCAAAACTGGACTCTAAGATACAGAAATTTATTTCACAGCACATTTCACTCCCATTGTATAGAAGGGCCTATGTATTTCCAAAATTTTACTGGGCTTAAATAGAAGAATAATTTTTAAACTCAGGTAATAAAGCTGATGCAAAATGTGGCTGACAGAATTTAGTGTGGATTTCACTTACCAATTCACTTAAGCCAATTATGAACCAGCTTGGGCTGAAAAAAAATAAACCACTCTTAAATTACATCTGCATCTATGTTAGGGTGATTTAAATGGTTGAAGAATAAGCAGAATATTTAGTGATCCTACTGAAACTTGCAGGTATAGATGAATCTTAATAGAGAAGAAACTCAGCCTTGCTATCAGCAAGTTCCCACTGAAACCAATCAGAACTAGTCTTTTTATGGCATGCTGAGTTTGGCCCAGTATTTTTAAGTTGTTATTTTTAAGTGTGATGTTCTTAGGCAGCTATTAATTCAACACAAAAAGACATTTGGATGTATTGTATCACACTGATAAGATCAGTATTAATTAGCTGACAGGTAACCAACACAGCAGTCTCTCTTTGCGAGACTTATATTTATATGAAAGATTGAGTTTCTTTGGTTATATAGTATCCAAGTCACCCAAATGTATATTTGTGTACTCCAGACATAGCATGTTTATATTGATCATTAAAATTACTAGGTTGGGGTTTTTTTTCTTTTTTTTTTTTTTTTTTCACTTGGTTTATGGAAATTTTCTGACTATAGCAGACTAGTCACATATAAATATACAGCATATATATACATAGAAATTACAAAAATACATTTTATTTATAGTTGATTTTTAAATAATAAAAATGAAATTTCACATTTGTTTAAATATTAGCATTCCAAAAGCTTCTGCAATATTTAAGGTATTGGAGCAGAAGATATCTGTATATTCTAGGATAACTACATTTCACAATCTCAGTCAGGGTTTATAATATAGTTATTTTGGGAAAAAATAGCTCTGCTTTAAAAGTTTGTGCTTCATCAATTTCTTCTATCCCCTATTCTAGTCTCGTCTCTCCTCCTCTCATTTTACTGATGGCCAAAAAGCTAAACTAAGTTCCCTTTCTCACTTCAGTAAAGACCAAAGAACTCAGAGAAATGAAATGATCAGACAAAATAGCATAAGCAATTGAGGATAACTAAATAACTTACGAAATGAAGGACATTACCTTTAACTCCAGTTGACACCAAACATGCCCAACAATAAATTTTGCAACTTCGGTTCCCAAAGCTAATTGCCAAAGGAACTGAAAACAATTGTTCATGATCTCCAACTGTTTTGTACAACTGCAAAAGATGAACTATTGTCCCATTCAAATGGTTTGATTTTCTTTTGGGATTGAATTCATACAACAATGCAGTTTAACAATTAGTCACCTTTATCTTGCACAATATAAAGTCAGCATAATTTCTGGAAATGCTCGCTTTTTCACAGAACATTAGTATTTTTGTTAATTCATGTAATAGTTCACTTATTTACATGTTAATATAATAATCAGGTCCTCTACATTCAAAACTTTCTGGGTGTGCATTCACTGTTCCAGTGTAATCAAAATCAACTGCAGCTTCAGGTAGCACTTTCTGGCATCACTTTCATAGATATCATTGTTTAAGAAAGAGAAAAAAGCACTGTATGAAACAGAGGTTTTCTTGTCCAAGCAGGTGTATTCATTATTCCAGGCTGGAAAGACTTGCTCAAAGGTCTCAGGTTTACCAGCTTCACATGCATTCAGAATGAAAAGCCTGAATATAGAGCAAACACGAATAACCTTTTCTCATTTCTCGTGGAATCTTCTAGCACCAATATCCTTTGTTGGCTTTTCGTGCGTTATATTCTCTCGTGCTGAAAAAAATCTCCTCCATAACTCATCAGTGGCATTCAGGGATAAGGTAGCCACCAATTATCAAAATATCATTAACCTTCTTCACAGTCTTCTCGTCTTTCACTTTTTGTACTGGTTAATAGGATGAGGAGAATCGGGGCTATTTACAGGACATTTATTTGTATTACTTACTCATCTCGAATTCTTTTGCTTTGAATACAGTCTCTAGAATGAAAAGGCTGAATGACTCTGCATTGCTGAAATCAACATCTCTTATGCAATGCCCTGCAGCAAACAATCAACGTGGTCACCGCCACATCTACCATGGCCTTCAGCTAACCATGTTCTACTGTATTTTCTTCTTTAATCAAAGTTTTGATATGCAGAAGCTATTTTCAGCAGCTCAACCTTCAGGCCTGCAAATGAAACATCGTGTGGCGCGGACACGTTCAGCAGCATCTCTGGTGATGATGGGTCACAGTACGAGAGCTCACTGGCAAACAGTTGCTTATGATCAATCTTATCCATATTAAACAGTTACTTGGCAGCATCTCCTTAGCTGGCAAGCAGAATTGTGTATCTTCAGAGCCCTGTTGCTCTACTTTAAGTCATTTCATAGGGTTGACTTTTCAGATAGAGAAAAATGCCATCGCTTAGGCACAATCCACAGCAAGTTTGTAACTGAAAATTAGAGGAGTCACTTTCTTGGCTACCCCAGGTTGCACGATACAAGTGCTGTGCACAAAAGATATTACACCTGGAACTCAAACATATCTGTTTGCTTCTTGGCCAGTTTGGCAACTTCTTCTCTTATTGCCTTTACAAGGGCAGCTGTAGAAATGTTGGTGAGAGGAGCGTCAGAGGGGTCATTTTCTGTCAGGCTCTGCTGAGAAGCTGCAGTGGAGGACAGAGGAGCTTGTTCCAGGCTGGGATGCATGCTCGCCTGCTGGCTGTACTGGCGAGGCAGCCGCGAAGGAGAATTGTGTTGGTAGCGGGGCCTCGGATAAGCCTCGATGTATCCCGGTAGTGGTACCTGTAGAGCATTGTAATTAGAGAAAATTATACACAACAACGGATCTGTAGTGCCACCTGCCACCTAACACAAACCTCCTTGGGGCAGAATAAGAAGTAAAAGATAAGACCATATGAAGAGAACATAAACCTTATACTCCTAGGCATCCAATTACAAATGTCTACCTTGGCGTGTGTCATTTATGCACAAATGTCAATGTACCAGTAGGAAACTTTCCACCTTGCAGGGGAAACATTGAATGTCCTAATTTATCATCACTTCAAAAAGTCAAAGGGAGAAATCTCTTCTGAAAGCGTGTCCTCTGCTTACTAGTCCTCCTAAACTTTTAAGTTTTAAACAGACAGCACCACTGCATTTCAGAACACCAAAAAGCCTAGAAGGGAAAAGTAGAGTTTGCTGATTTGCAGCCACTGTCTAATCCAAGTCAGCCAAGTCTCTGGACTTACTGTTCCTAACAAAATCCAGATCAACAGACATAGCTCAGGTACACCAACCTGGAAACTCAACACTGACTTCTCAGTCAGGATTTCTGGCCACGTTTAACGGAATTACATGGGGGATTCATAATTTTACTAACACTGGCTAAAACTAAAATAATAACATAGGCCCTTTAGTCACTGTGAGATATTAAATTTCCTTCACATATCCATGAAACACGATACCAGTCTTTATAGTCCTCAGAAGTTTTTAATGCATCAAATAAAAATAGTATTAAGTAATGTTTTGCAAAAGTCTATAAAACAGAAATCTACAGCACTTCATTTTGAAGAAGGCTTTATGTTGTTACAGAAGGCAACCTATAACCTATTGCTAGGACAAGATAATTTCTCCTTGAGAAAAAGCTTACCAGCTGATCATTCTACTCCATGCCAATGACAAGTACGTAAGGAAAGTTCAGTGATGCTCTTTTATGAACTGACTCCAAAAACCGCATTTACCTACAGAATACTCAAAATACTACACTTATAAGCTACCTGATAAGTTTTCACAATGTTTAAGCACTAAAAAGTTAACTTTGTAATTATTTTTGCTTTAAATGTGAAACACACATGGGTTTTACTTTCCAAATATATTAAGGTGTTATATAAGCATATAATACAGGCTGCCAGGTAGGTATCTCAGCTAATTTTGGGATTTCAGCTAATTTTGGGATTTCAGTCAGGCTGAGGTGTAAGGTGTGTCACCCACCAGGGCTAAGGCATTGGTGGGTATGCCAGAAGCAAAATTTCAGAATTTCAGGTGTCTGCAAGCAAACTGAAATGTCAAGCTGTGAAACACCTGCCAATTTTATATACCTTTTCGTGAACATGGGGCCTCAGCATGGACTTTAGAATGACAGTTTTGGAGTTTCACTTAACTCCCGTTTTGGCTCTGGCCCTGAGAGACTCGAACAACCCCTTGGGTGCTTTGGAAAGACTTACCACTTCAGGCATCTAAGAACCTATGAAAACCTGACCAGTAGGGTTTACACATGCTCTATAAAATCTTGGATATCCAACAAGCCATAAAGAGAATGTCAAACACGTTCAGTATAGCGTGATGAGACAAACATAGGAATCTGGCATGATATGAAAGTGATCATTAAATGCAGTTGACTCTATTTAGTTTACAATAGATTATTCGACAGACAAACATTTCAGTAGTACAAGAGAACGAGCCACTAGGGGCCACCAGGTTACTACTTTCACTAATCAGCATCTAGCAATCTGGAAAATAAATGCTTTGTTGGATACAATTCCCTTCTGCCACAAAACTTAGTGCTTCAATACTTACCATTTATCTAAAAGTACTCTACAGTCAATTAAGCTCATAAGATAATTATTTGTTGTCAAATCTGTTTCCTCTGTTACCTTGTTTACAGTCCAGTTAGTGGAAATGTATGAATAGCAAAGGATTTCCATTTTCATCTTATAAATATTAAGCCTCTGTTCTTAATAATTTTCAATAAAATCTTGGAAGCATAATTGAACTATAATCTAGAGGCTCAGAAAACATCCAGAAACTGAAACCCTAAGTATTACTTTAGATCTTTATTTTTTCCAGCATCATTCATGGTTTCTGATGATATTATGTTGCTAACGCTATTACTAGTTCCTCTAGTAATGATTTTAAAATAAAAACAATTTCTTGAAAGATTTGCAGTCATTGGGAGGTAAAAATTCGTTGTAGAAACTGTAGTGGTTCGGTTTTACATTTTTTTTATCTTTGCCTGCAAAGTCACAGGAGGGCTCAGAGTCTGAGTAACAAGAAGTTGTTAAAGCCCTGCAATGGGTAAGTGAAGTCAAAAGAAATATCTGTTTCCTTTGAATTCCTTATTGCCACAGTTCTTTTTCAGACAGCTTCTCACATCCCTCTCCATTCCTTTGTATATGGGCCACTGGCAGTAGCTGCTCTTCCCACCTCTTTCCCTGCAGACAGGGAAACCCACAAAAGGGTTATGAAGGAACTGGGGGCTGGAAACTTGCGTTCCAGTTTTGTCCAGTTTGTTTTCAGTCTCCCCTTTTGACAAGTGATACCCGATTCTTTTTTTTTTTTTCATGGGACTGCAGCCAAGAGGTAGGGATACAAAGGGGAAAAAGAATGGAAGACGAGTTTTGTTTTGGTTTGGTTTTTTGTTTCTTCTTCAAGGAGAATCAAGGAGGCACAACAAGCCTCCTCAATTTAAAATGTCAGCTGGGTTAAAACAAAAAAAAACAAACAATGAAAAGCACAAATAAATAAAACAAAGAAAAGGAAAAGGGTTTCTATGCTTTAAAGGGCAGCTCTGGAAAGGGAATCTGTACAACTCCATCAAAAGCCTCCAGGTGTCAGGGGCACATCAGCAGATGTGCTCAGCTCACAGCTGAACATACTTGTTTTTTCTTGACATTTCAGCCCACAAACTCAGACTTACATCTGACAGTCAAACTGAATTCTTTTCCTCACAGGCATCAGGAGCAGTAATAAAGATTTGGCAAGAAATAACCGCCCCCAGGAACATTTATATGACCGTGTTATCTCCTGCTTAGCTGCTCAAAGACAACTATTAGACTCCAACTGCAATCCACTAAAATATTCTGTTGGTGATATGCACATGGAAATAGAATCTAACTCCCAGTTTGTTTAGCTGAATTGGTTCTGCATAAATACCAGATGTGAGTTCAAGCAGCAGAATTGATCTTTTTTTTCCTAGTGGAAAAAAAGCCTCAAGTTTTAGAAATGGTTTCAAACATGATAAACTACTGCAATTCATTTCAGGATGTCTCAACTTTACTTCTTTGAAATATAGGTATACTTTGGGCTAAAAAATTGCATCTGCCCCAGACTGGGATTGTGCAATTAATTATTTAATTTATGATCTGGCACCACAGCCTGCAGGAAGACTTGAAACACTGTGCAGCAGGGCTGCAGTAGAGCCTGGTGCTAGGCTGCCTTGAGAGAAGCCTCCAGGAGGGAAAGATGCTCCCCAACATCCAAACAGCACAAGACCATCTTGAGAGGCAGCATCACCTACTCCTCCCACATGCCTATCATCTAAATATTTAACCTCTGTCCTGCAAAAGAAAAATGGTACCTAACCCACCAACTTTAAATAGGTGCCAGCCCCTAACCTAATTAATGATTTAACTCTCTAGAAGTTCATGGGATGGCCAGCTAAAGTATCTATGCCCCCTCTCGTAACTTTTCACTGCTATAGACTATTTCCATTCAAGGAAGAATTATCTTGCTCAGATTCTTTGTTGATTTCTTAGCATTGCTTTAAACCCCTCCTGTGCAAATCACAGAAAATATATGTAGTTAGAAAAGCAAGGAAGCTTACTGAGTCTGCCCACTGCCCTGGTAATTCGTTCTCTCCAGCGTAGGGCATCCAGGCTTGGTTCCTGTATGCGGTGGGTGGTGTTGGGATAAAATAGCCTGTGAAGCCAGGTCGGTTTGCTGCTGGTATGGCAAACACTGCTGGTACAGTATTTCCTATTAAGAAAAAGAGTAGAAATAATTAATAGCTAATATTTTCAGTTATAAATTAGAGTATGATACTTATGAAGTAACTGGCCTCAGTCTTTTTTTTTTAAATTTTTTTTTTTTTTGGTGAGAATGTGATCATCATCCGTTGGGTGTAAGGCTCCCACCATCTGAATAGAACATCTCTATAATGCTGGGAAGTACTGAAGAAGATAATTTTGCAGTTGTCCATAATCATGCACAGCCTGCAGATAAAGATACAAGGCCTTAGTCATTAGGACTTGGACCCTGTAGTAACTGATCTTCATCAAAACATGGAATCATTAGGAAAAAGGCTTCTTTTCCTCTTGCATTTGCTTCCTTGTATTCAATTTTTAGATTTTGTTACCATGGCTTTCAGAGTAGTTCACCTTTCTTTTCAACAGCAGGATATAGAGCGTTCAGTTTACACAGTAAAACTGTCTTAATATCTCTAGGCACATAACCTACAAAAATGAATGAGTAATACATTTAAAAGGCTGTAATCTCAACAACCCCATCATAAAACTTCAACACTTCAGATAAAAAATATCAGGGCTCTACTCGCTCAATTCCTTTCCCAGGAAGAGTCTATGACTGCAATAAATTATGCAGCTGCCACTTAAATAAATATTTCCAAGGAAACTTGTTGACACCAAATCTGTTTTATCACATATTCATCAAGATGTATGCACAGGGACGTCAAGGAAGCCTTCAACTGAAATTCTACTATCATACTCCAAGTTGGGTAGGAGAAACCAGCTGTTTCAGCCAAATCTCTGGATGTGGTTGTATCTGCTCTTTCAGGTAGGGGTTATAAATGGGGTCACAGAGATGCAGAGAACAACGTGGTTCTTGCTGCAATTACTCAGATTACCCACTTGGTTGTCTGAAAGAGAAGCATCTTCTCACACACTCCCGCTATTTCCCTTGAGAGAAGCCATCATAATTCCATGTGTTTGCCACGTTTAGAGTAAAATACAAACAACTTGCTTGTCCAGTAATACTTCCTTCCTCTAGTGTCTATTTATGTGTGAGGACAGACACAAGTAGTGTACCACTGCTACACTAATGTCACAAAAACCCCATTCCTAAATCCTGGGCAGGAAAACTCTCTATCATCTTTATCAGGTAGTAAACAAAGACCATGGATGGTGTGCTTTGAGTACTCAGTTATAATACATGGACATGTATCTTACTTTTCAGATTCACTGAATATAGCAAAAATAACACCATTTATGTGAAAGGAGAAAAGCCAGTAAATCCCCTAAGAACACAACAAAGTATAGCTCAAGTATTTTCTGTGAGGAATGGATGCACTGTAAATGTTGCACAGATGAGCACTGGCTCTGTACTAGAGTCAATGCAGAGAACATACAATTCCTTTTCCTTCCACTTCCACATCATCTGAATATTGTCAACAACGTATCTGTTTTTAATATCACTGGAAATGATAGAGAAGTGTGTCAGAGAACACATTACTGTAAGAGACTAAGAGTGAGCTCTTGGTAACGTGGCATATTTTATAGCTTGAAATGCTTTAAAATGAAAGGGTGAGCATCTGCTCTTTTCAGATTCACATGCACAATTTGCAGAAGGTATGACAAGAAGTAAGAGTAGAATGGGTCCTTCAAACCTATTATATTTAATTAATTGACAACAGATTTGCATATCCACATTATTATTCTCAGTAGAATATGTTGAATACAATGGAGATAATGCTCTGTTACTTCTGAGGAAGCTAAGAAAGAAATTTTTCTGGCAGATTCACAGAGCAATGTCTAATAAACCTACCAATTTCAAAACTTTGACCTGACAATGTAATATATTTTTAATCTTGTAAGCTCGTTTATATAGCTCTTCAAGAAAACATTTTTTTGCCAATGAGAAGCTATTTCAAATATTTTCTTAGCTAAATGTTCTCCAAATACCATCCAAACAATATATCAGCTTAATCTCATGGTTAGATCAATTCATTTGTAAACAAAATTCATATCAAAAAAGACCAGGAACTCACTAGGCCTTTACAACTGGGACATTTAGACCCAAAACAAGTTCTGCACTTGAGCAGGAACCACCTTTGCAAAAACAAGAGGAGAGGTGAGCTAACAGATTACCTTTGACTGTGCAAAAAAGCACTGCTGCCGGATGTTTTGAAAGGAAAGGTGCACGTACCTTCAATTTACACTCCTCAGCAGCCCACTGTTGTGACAAGACTAGGAGTTAAGTTTCTCAAGAGGAAATAGGGAGTCGTAAAACTCATCCCACAGTCAGGCTGGAAAAGCCCAGTCTTCTTTGTGTCCCCTTGTTTTTCCTCCCTCTCCTTACAAATCAAGTAGAGCTGAATGCCATTATGCCTCCTTCTGCAGCACTATGTACAGCGCCATTGTACATATTCTGTTTTCAAGCACTTGGGCTGATATTCTTGACTGATAAAACAATGGAAGGACCTACTTCATTTCTCCATGCCCCTCAGAGCCCCGTTACCCATCTCTCCTGCTTTGTTTGTTTCTGTACATGCTGCAAACCAAGACGCAAGATGAATTCCAGCGGATTTTGTGGTACAAAGGAACTGTTTTGCTGAGCTTTAATAATTCAGTTTCTTGATCAGTGAGCCAGCAGAATGCCATACTTGAACAACGACCATCTGGTATATTACTGCTGGATCTTACCTTCAGAAATGACTATTTCCTGGTGCTTCTGCGGGATGAGTAGTGATTTACAACGCCACTAATGCTGCATTTACAAAAGAACAATCCTTTGTAAACTCCTTCAGTTGTACCAGTAAAAAACACCTAATACAGTCCTTCTCCAAATAATCATCTGTATTTGCTATATCCCATACATTCATTTATATGTAAAATAAATTGTGAGGCTCTCAAAGCCACAAGTTGTGTCTGCACTATTTTTTCACCTGAGTGAAAAGCTGATTGATCGAGTGGACCAACAGACATCGGAGCTCTGGAACCAGGTGCATAAGATGCCTGATCATGATGCTGGGCCTGATCTGCCCCACTGGACTCAGGTATTCTCACTTTGCTGCCAATATCTGATGTAGACCTGTGCAATAAGAAACCAAAAAATAGAAACTTTTGTCATTCTGACTGACATAAGATTCATAGCCACATACATGCCTATCAGCTGCAGTATGACAAGCCTACTAGACAAGAGCTATCCGATTTTACTCTGGCATGACAGAAGTTTGGAGAAAACTGGAGAACCAAAAGTCTGAGAACAACTTCTTTAGCCTGACCACTACTTTGCCAACGCATATTATGACCATTCCATAGAGCTTTTTCTTGCTGCTTCAAACAAATTCCTGTGATGTGCAACACAAAAACCAGAGCTTTACCATTGCTCATCAACATGAGACTGCAGACAATAACATATTACTGCAGCATATATGACATGGTATCATATAGTAGGAGACTACTATGGTAAGTAACCTTAACTGCACTTGGGAAGTACTAACATCTTTTGAAAAGGTGTGTTCCAGCTGCTTTAGAGCTAAAATATACTGCATGAACAAGAATATGTCGACAAAAACTAGCTGTGTCCTGAATGTTTGGACACAGTTATGATATCATTAGCAGCCCCTCAGGAAAGTTTCCTTTGGCCTGGGTGCTCCTCAGCAGCTGTGGGCAGGTCTGCAGTGCCTCCAACTGCAGTTGGCACCTGGCAGTACCCAACAGCACAGCACTGAAGGAGTTCATCCACCACAGAAGTGTAAAATCTCCTTGAAATGCATTTATAGAGTCCCTTAACGCGAGGAAGAGGCAAAATGGGCATATTTAGCTTCAGAAACACAGGTATGAGCTATCTGAAAGCTAGGCTGAAATTCCCAAATGATAGAGTCCCTTAACGCGAGGAAGAGGCAAATGGACATATTTAGCTTCAGAAATACAGGTATAAGATATCTGAAAGCTAGGCTGAAATTCGCAGATTCAGGGTACTGAGAAACATCTTACAATTCATCCATATCCTGTTGCAAGTCCTTACAACAGAGAAAAGCAGGGAGAATGACAGAGCGAGTTATCTACCAGCCATCTGCAATACAATACGCCATTATGCGAGTTGAGGCAAAGCCTGTTTTAAAAGAAATCAGAGAACTGGATTTCCTAATTTTATTGAAACTGATTGCCTAATAGAAAAGAAAATTCATTATTATTCCTTTCCTCTCCGTGTTAAAATGAAATAAAATCAACATGTTTCTAACTTCAAGAATGTGTCTTCCAAAGTGCCTTGTAAGTTCCCCTTCAGGGTTTGCCCCAGTTCTTATTACAACAGTGGGTTTTAGAGATCATAGCTAAAATAAAACAACAGATAAATACCTCCTGAGAGAGGCAACAGCCACAGGACCTGTTCTGGGAGGGACCGGAGGAGGAGGAGAACCCATTACCATCTCAGGAAGCTGAGAAAATCTGTAAGCCTGTAAAGGAGAAAAATAAGTATTTTCTGAAACACCCATAGATCTCAGTCAAATTAAAAACCAAAAGACCTCAGAAATAAATACCTGCTTTGCGTGCCTGCCAACAGGAAGTTAACTTTTTGTGGCATCAATAGCAATTGCATTTATTTGAGAATTTACAGTGCTTGGGTGATTTTAGGATGTGGAAGAAAACACAAACAAATGAGCTCAGAGCCAAGATGAAGTCTAATTTAAATAAAACACATGAAACACTATCTCTGTGACATTTCTAACCTTGCTGGCAAAGCAGGTCTGTTATGATTATGTGAGACTCAACAGCTGCTTTGGATCCAGAGAAAAAGATCTCACTATTTTCATTTCCTCCAGAAACAAAGTATTGTAAAGATTCAGCAAGCACCCTCAGAGCAGCATCTCGTGAAGTGAAGCTGCCTGTGAGCAATGCATATTCCAACCTCTTCCTTTCACCCTTGAAGAGATGAAAAGAAAACTCCTCACAAAAACCCCAAGCTCTGTAATTTGCTAAAGCAGTAACGAAAGTCTCACACAGTTCTGAAAAAGCAGAGTAATTCAGAACACAGGACCAACTCACTAAATCACAAAATTAAGCATCTTGCCCCCATAGTAATTCTGGATTTTATCACTAATATATGTGAAGAGCAACTAATCGTGTACATGAAATCCATAACATGCAAAAAATGACATGCAGGACAAAATTTCTCTTCTAAATTCTTTGTAATAGTATAGATTAGAGGTTAGAATTTTGCGAAATATACTTCAGGACACAAGGATGATATCTCTCCAGTGCTTCATTGACACTTCTCTTCAACACATTGTGATTTTGGGATTTTTTTTAATTATGCTTTTATTGACAATGCTTCAGAACAATGCACATGATTAAAGGAACTAGAGCCCAAATTTCAATCATAGGACTTTGGCCCTCTAAAAAAAGAGGTGACACTTTTCTTCAACACATGGTGATTTGGGTTTTTTTTTTAATTATGCTTTTATTGGCAATGCTTCAGAGCAATGCACACGATTAAAGATAAGGTCAGAGCAACAGCAAATGACAAATTATGGGGAGGCTGTCCAGTATCAAGATATGGGCGTTTTGACAAAAACTAGAGCCCAAATTTCAATCATAGGACTTTGGCCCTCTAAAAAAAGAGGTATCTGGTTTAGCCAGAGAAGCTCCCTCCCCAAACAGCAGAAAAAGCTAAAGCTAAAAACACATTACCATGGGATGAGTCATTCTCTTATCTCCTGCATGTAGAAAGAGCCTACAGGATTTACATGATTAGCTCAGACTTAACACCTACATTTAGGTTTGAATTTGGCAATATAAATCCCACACTGAATATCAAAAACCACTATCTTTCAGTAATCTTCTTTAAAGATTACACGTTTAGACAATGTTCCAATACCATCTTTCTCAAATAGCTGTAAAACTGGGTTAACACAAAGGAAAGGTAACTTATCAAATACTTACTTTTGATGTCAGTGTCTCTAAGGGAAAAACAATACAGACCAAGCATCTTTCTCCCGCCTCTCACTGCCACCCCTTTTAAAGCAGGGTAGAGTCCCTCAAAGGCATGTCTATGAAAACAATTTTTCCTTTCATGCCACCTACAAAGTCTCCTAATATTTACTTTCAGCATGCTACAAAGGTATTTAAAGTATTTCTATATTTAGGTAGAAAAAAAATCTAAAAAGGCAACAGTACATTTCCTAGCCAATGGGTTGAAAATACTGATTTTTAATGGAAGAACAGTATAGAAAAACAAATGGTATTTGCATCAAAGAAAACCTCAATTAGATTTCCCCTAATAGAGCTGGACTTGAAATGGTCTGCAATGCCTCTTCTGCGTCTGAAAAGCTGGCAGTGCTCTCACAGGCTGAACCAAACACTTCCTTCTGGCTCCACAAGCCTTTCATCCCACGTCTTGCTCTCAGCATGCATTTCTACCAAGTATGAAATTCTTTTTTTCCCCTATTTTAAAGGCACAGTACATGAACTAATGTTTTAGAGTGGCTGGTGACTCCGGATACCATTTAAGTATAACAGGGTAGACAGAGACACACAGGTAGATTTGGTGATTCTCTGTTGTGTTAGTGGATGTGCTTTGCACACTGATATGAAAGGAGGCATTTTAAGGGATCACAAAGACCATTTCACTAATGTGCTGCAGCTTGCACTGAAATTTTGGGGGGCGGGAGAGGGGGGGAAGTAAAACAGAAAATCAAAGCACTTATTTTTGCTGCTTACATAGGAGATAAACAATTTTGGGTGAGTGGCAGTATTTTGCTAATGGCTGGGCAAAGTGAATCCTATTAAAGTGAAAAATCCTGTTAGGAGATCTGCTGTGCCACACAGGAACAGTCTGTCCTGGGGGATGGCAGTCAGTCTTCTCCGTGCCGAGCTTCCACAGACACCAAAATTGTTACAAGAGGGAATTCCAATGAAATGTCTAAAATTTCTCCAATAGGCTGGGGTATTAATGTTTTCCTACATGCAACACATAAATGGAAAAAAAAAGTTCAGAGGCTAAATTAAACCAAAGTTGTGCTAAAGAGGCCTATCTGTTATAGATTTAGATAAGCCCTTAGATTCTAGGCTAACATGCATGATTGTAGAAATAAAGTCACTTCACTGAAATTCATGCACTGCTGCAAATCCAATCAGAACAAAAAAAAATAAAAATGAAAAAAACCATCCTATTAAAGTGAAAAATCCTGTTATGAGATCTGCTGTGCCACACAGGAACAGTCTGTCCTGGGGGATGGCAGTCAGTCTTCTTTGTGCTGAGCTTCCACAGACACCAAAACTGTTACGAGAGGGAATTCCAATGAAATGTCTAAAATTTCTCCAATAGGCTGGGGCATTAATGTTTTCCTACATGCAACACATAAATGGAAGAAAAAAGTTCAGAGGCTAAATTAAAGCAAAGTTGTGCTAAAGTGGCCTATCTGGTATAGATTTAGATGAGCCCTTAGATTCTAGGCTAACATGCATGATTGTAGACATAAAGTCACTTCACTGAAATTCATGCACTGCTGCAAATCCAATCAGAACAAAAAAAAAATAATGAAAAAAACCGACAGCTGATCTCACAGAAAATTTGCCTACTTATATTCTTCAAAATTAGTTTATCCTTCAAAAAAAAGTGTTGCGTCACTTTTGTTTTTCACCAAGAAAACCCAAAAAACAAAAACCAACTTAAAAAGAGAAACATTCTGCAGGGATTCCAGACTCTATTTTATTGAAAAATGAGGACTGTATTAAGAAAAAAAAAAAAAAAGCAGCTATAACAATCACTGGCAGTAATACAGTAATCAAATTTGAGATTCAGGACAGACTGCACAGGTACCAGACTGCAGACCCCACATCACCTTTTCAGGAAGAAATGCCAGTGAAGGAGTCTGCTGTGGCTAAACCAGACAATTTGAAAAGCAAACAGTGAAGAATTTTAAAAAGTAGTGAGTTCAGTTTAGCAGAGAAACTTCAGGCTTTGGGCCCAGGAGACATACAGCACAACCCTCTGGAAGATAGAGACCAACCACCAGCAGACACTGGCACCAGTGTCTCCTACAACCCATACAAGTCTAAGGTACCACCTGTCAGGATGCAGGGGAAAAAAGTTAAACTGGCACACAATAACCAAAGTTTAAAGGGGAAATTTTGCAGTTAGCTTCAGTCTACATTTCCCTGGTTGCAGTATTAAAATATTTTTACCACCCTGTCAGGATGCAGGGGAAAAAAGTTAAACTGGCACACAATAACTAAAGTTTAAAGGGGAAATTTTGCAGTTTGCTTCAGTCTACATTTCCCTGGTTGCAGTATTAAACTTCAGTATTCAACTTACAGATATATTTGTCTTGGGTGAAATTATTCAATGTTGCCTCCTAATTACAGAAATATCCATCTCACCATAGGAATTGAAAGGGCAGTGTCTTTGTTTATTCACTGAATTATTTAGCTAATTGGATTATCAAATTGCAAACCAGGAATAATGCAAACACTGATTTCAGCTGAATTTGGTTTTGCTTTGCTAGCTGTCCTGCTTTATACTTAATGTAGTAACTGTTATTGAAAGTGGCTGAACTTTGGTAGAATACTCACTTTACCTCTGGTGAAACCAAGAGAAGCTCTGAGGACATGGATACATTACTAGTCTCTCAACCTGCAAGTCTGTCCATCAGTGCCTGCTGTACAGTGCTGGGTCTCACCTTAGGACCCAGAGCTCTGTTACTCTCACTCCTCCAAGGAGGGGAGATGAGAACTGCTCCATCCCTGCAATAAAGAGGAGTTTTATCCCTGGCCGTAACTCTCTGTTCAACTAAGCTGTGTGAATTCCCAAAGCAGTGACACGATCTGCTGAGGCACAACGCTGCTTGTGTTAATACACTCGATGCTACAACTCCATCCTCCAGTCCGTAGTACACCAGCTGGATGACAAAGACCCAGCCAAGTGTTGCTCATCCCATTTTTGGAGGATCCAGAACAACACTAAGAGATCGCATTTTCCTAGCTTTTCTCTGCCAGGAGAGAGCCTCAAATCTCATCCCATTTTTGGAGGATCCAGAACAACGCTAAGAGATTGCATTTTCCTACCTATTCTCTGCCAGGAGAGAGCTTCGAAGGAATACTGTTATCACAGGTCATCCGTGAGCAGTTTGATAGTCAGACATTCCCTCACAAGAGCTACAGATAATATCGTTATTAATGCTACCATGTAAAAAAATAAAGAAATCCCCAAACCCACAGAAGGTCTCAAAATGGAAAGGAAAAAGAAGAAAGATGAATGCCCTGGAGACATATCTGAAGGGTGCCTATAGAAGAGCTGGGGAGGGACTCTTTGCCAGGAAGGGTAATGATAGGACAAGGGGAAACGGTTTCAAATTAGAAGAAAAAAGATTCAGATTAGATCTCAGGAAGAAATTTTTTACTATGAGGGTGGTGAGACACTGGAACAGGTTGCCCAGGGAAGTTGTGGATGCCCCATCCCTGGAGGTATTCAAGGCCAGGCTGGATGTGGCCTTGAGCAACCTGCTCTAGTGGGAGGTGTCCCTGCCCATGGCAGGGGGGTTGGAACTCGATGATCTTTGAGGTCCCTTCCAACCCTAACCATTCTATGATTCTATATACAACAGTTTAATGGTGGGACTACCAAGAAGCTGACTGCAAAAAATCAAAGATCCATAACCAAGAGGAGACCTGAAGAAATATAGGCCTGAAGAGTGGTTCTGGTCCCCAGAAAGTCTATGGCAGGGAGGGAAACACAGAGATGGAGACCTGCATGCAGATTTTCGCTGTTTTGCCTCAATCCATTTCCATTTGTACTTTATAGAGTTAGAGAATATCTGTGCTAGAAATCTTATGCACCACATGTATCACCTCTGAGATGCCTTTGCAATAATAAAACCTAAAGGTGCACTCAAGTTACTGGAAAGTTTATGGGATCTTATAAAAAGTTTAGAGTCTGGACTGTGAAGGGCCAGATTTCAGAAGAGAGTAATGGGCTGAAGATCTTTATACTTTCATTGTATCTAGAGACCCAGCAGTAAAGCCAATGTCTGCATTAGTTCCATCTAAGAGGACAAAATGCTCTTGAATACAGATTTCAAATGTTAATAGCATTGTTAATGTTGACTTTTAATTGCCACTAAGAACTGAATTTTAAGAAAGGGCAAAAATAGATAATTCTTGGTTTGCAGACGTAACATCCTCCCCCTATAACACACATCCCAGTGCTGAGGTACCTGTTACCCCCAAAGCTGCTGAGGCTGCTCACTTGCCCCTCACCTCACCCACCCCAGACATCTTCCCTGTGTGTCAGCCAACCCACTCCTGAGCACTCCCCTTTGCAGCTTTTCTGCCAGAGATGCTGAGCAGGGGTATCCCGCACAGGCAAATAGGTGCTAAGATGCTCAGAGCAGTAATTCTTCCATGTTCTTCATGCCCACAGATCACTTGCCACACACATCTCAGCTAGATACTTTTCAGTTCCAATCCTCCATTCCCGTTTAAAAACAATCCAGTAAATAGCTTAGTTAAAGTACTGCTCATATTCATGAAATTGATATGCAGAAAACTATGAATTAACAGCCCTTATCCAAACTCCAGTAGCCTATGACTATCCTAACCTGTGGTGATCAGTTATCTTCAGAGGACTTTTTAACACTACCTTCAAAATGCCAGAAAGATAAGCAGATGCTTAACAGTCCTAAACATGCAGATGATTTAGAAGAGTCATGAGTCTTAGAAAGAAAACAGTGAAGCATTCGCCAGAAAAGTTTAGCTATTACATTTTTTAAAAAATCTGTTGCTATATAATATGTTTAATTTCATTTTAGAAAGACTCTCTCAAGTGTCAAAGTAATTTGACTACCCATTAGCTGTTTCTTGTAATCGAATTCTAACCATAAAATGTGATTAGATATTGTATGAAGTTCATCGGACCAATTTCAAAGTGCCAGAAATAACCTTTAGCATGATTTAAATAGCACCAGCCTGAACCTTTGCAGGCAGTACCACTAGCTTTCAAATATGTTCAGAATAGTTCCGAAGCAGCATCCCTTAATGTATTTTTTTTATTACCATGAAAGGAAGTCATAGCAATAGTTATTTTGAACTGAGGACGTTTTGCTGCATTATTCTCTTATTCAAGGGACTCCATTTGAAACGCATTCTTTCAAAAAAATATTCATTTCTGACCAATAAAAACCTTAAAATGAACCGCTTTTCACACTGATATTGATAGATAAGCATGAGCTATTTCTTATCTGAAAGCAATCATCTCTGGTTTAGATTTGTACCTGACATATGAGAAGGAAATTAATTTGCTGAGTTTGAGAATAGCGTCTGTGGGAATTGAGGGATAGTGTCACACACCAAGGGTGCACACAGTACTACCGCAACCGCTGTCTAGATACCTACAATATTCCATTGACAATTTCCATCTATGGGTTTAATTTCTTAATTTATTTATTAATTTTCTGAAGTAAGGACATGCTAGCCATAACTTGAATCTAGAAAATGAGGGATAAAGAGAGACTTAAATAAGGTCAACTCAGAAACCTGTGGAATTGAACCATCTCTAAAGTCCCAAGTCAATAGCTATAACTGCAAGATTGTCAATAACAGCCCACATTTCAGGTCACTGTGATTATTACACTTGGTTCCCTCTCTTGCAATGGTGCTCTTCAGTGATGGACCTCATGCAGAAGTTTTGACTGCTTCATACCCAGCTGCCTATGTAGCTCTTCTACAAAACCAGACTGCTTCCTAATGTGTGTTCAATGAACAGGAGGAGACATGCAAGCAAGTTCTTGATCTGCTGAACAGCCTGGAGCTTAGTGCAGCCCATTCTTTCAAGCACAATTTAGACAAGACAACCTTGCTGTTAAAATAGATACTATGAGCCTTCATGCAAGAGCTGGATATGGGTAAGCATAGACCCCACACATACATAGACCCCACTAGCCGTACTTATTTACTGTAAGCATGGCTTTACATCTGGTGTTAAGCATGTAAATGGGGCTCCATCTTGAAAAAACCTGTGTCTCAGAGTAGAAATATCTTTATGTTATTACTAAAGAGAAGTTTCACTTACTGGTCTTGGTAAACTGTACTGATACATTTCTGGTCTGTATGTGGGTACCCACTGTACCCCCCCTCTAGGACGGGTCATGGTACCAGGAGCACTGGTCACAACCTCCGAGTAGGGCAAGTGTGGTGCTGAGCTGTATGCCTCCTGCCTGCTCTGTCCTCCGTGGCCTGCAGAGGCCAGGCTGAAAGCCTCTTCCAAGAGCATATGCATCTGCTGTCGAACCTCGTCAATGGAGGGCTGAGAACTTAAAGTTGAGGTCTCCGAGTGGCCTTTGGCCTGACGGGACCTGGTGTAATTCCGAGGCTCGTTGACACGGTCAACATTTGTTTCTTCTATAATTTCAGGCTCAGTCTGTTGGATGGAATAAAAGCACGTATATGTAAAAAGCTTTACAAGACAATATATGTGCTGCTTCACACAAAACATTCTCAAACACAGATGTAGCATATACAAAGTCAGCAATTGTGACAATATAGACGCATGACAAATACTGGAAAGGAGTGATATGATGCAGGCGAGTATAATAGCCTTTCATATCCTACATTGTTTGCTGTGAAAACTAGCAGGGGCACTCTGTAGGAGATTAAATTGTCAATGATTCACTTAAAAACAATTAATGTTTAAATTCTTTTCTTAGTTGTTAGTATCAATGGGATTACAACTGTGCCAGGAGGAGTATGGTTCCCTAGATAGTACCATCACTATGAAGGACCCCTTACAAGGGACCATTTGTTACAGCTACAGGGACTAAAATTCTTTTGTCCGTTCTCACATGTTAAGATTTCAGAAGTAAAGTTTAGGGGTTTTCTTGAACTTTCTTACCCAGTTAGGAATGCTAAAAACAACACTACAGACTACGTCCTGTCTCTTGCAGAAAATATCCTGACCCAGCTCAGTCATCTTACCTAGCAGCCCAATAGTAATTACACAGAAATTTATCCAAAACTAACGTGGGAGAAGTGAACAAAACACATCCTCTAATGAGCAGATAATACTTGTGCATCTTAACTTGAAGAGTTAACTGCTGGGGGAATTCTTTCTGTATAGATAAGTACAAACAGAAATCACCCCCCAATTTTTTCACCTGTAACTCAAAAACAGAAAAAAACATCATATTATAAGAAATTGACAGTGAAATACCTAACTTCATTTATCTTCTGCAAGATTAATTTTTCAGGCTATGGTTTTAAAAAAAAATATGTTACACTGGCAATCTGAGAAAGCAACCATTTTCTAATTCTTTAAGTATCAGTAAAATATATTCAAGATGCTAGGATAACTGGAATGAAGAATAGGATATGTACCTCCTGCTATATATAGCATGTGGTTAGAATTGTGTTAGCATCTAAAATAGCCACAAATGAAAGAATACAACAGGATGTTATTATTAAAAACTCCAGCATTGCCCTGCTAATTTACTTGAGTGGTCTGTAGCTCCTGCTGTGACATGCTTTTTTTTTCCATGTAATAGTGCAATAACTTTCTATATACCTGACTAGATAAGCAACTGTGCCCCCAATCTTTTGCAAGCCATGTATGGTCATATATTATTATAGGACAATCATAGCACGTATTTCTTTATCTGCAGAGTCAGATATATAACTGACCACCTTCTGTTATCAACCATTCAGAGGAGAGTTACATGGTTAGCCTGAAAACTGACAATAAATTTGAATAAAAGATCTTAATTTGTTTTCTCACTTAGCTGTTATAGCTATATTTTGTACTTAGTGAAAATACAGCAATAAAAAAAGGAAAAATCATTATTCAAATGAATAATTAATCATTTGATTATTAGAATTTAACTGCAATTTATGTGGTTCTATTTATATGGTATATTATCCAAATTCAAAACCTTAAAGCCCAGCTTCCTACGTGGTACACATATCAGAGTGAGGGAGGAACAATGTAATGGCATGTAGTTCTCTTAAACCAAAAAGCTTTGTGGGAAATATTCGACTAAATAATTTTCCTTCATTTTCTCCCTGCATTTTGATTGCATTATTATCTGTGTCGTTACAAGGTAAGGTAAATAAAAATCAGGTACATTTTAGAAGCTTGAGTATAAAAGTCAGATAAATTTTAGAACCCTGACTATAAAATGCAATGGTAGTTTGCATGTATAAGTGCAACCAAAGAGCCTCTGAAATCACACTGTCCCAACTGGATGATTAATAACCAGGGCTCTACTATTTCATCATGACTGTAAAAATGTCAGTGAATGGAATCCCACAGGAGACCTACTAGTACCCAGTGGAGAAATAAATCAGGTTCTCTACTACAACCCCTTGGTGAAGCCATTAGACCTCTACAGAAAGTCTAAAATATATCATATGAATAAAGGATAAATCAAAGCTGACTACTAATATGTATCAATATAAAGGTTGGCACAAAAAATATGGAGGAGACTGGTGAACATTACTTTTCCTCTAGTTTTAAAATTTATTTCAATTCATCCTATCATTTTGTGATGAATGTAATTTGCTTTCATACCAATTGAAACACGTAAGCATCATAAATAGATACCAATATATGTTAACGTTACCATTCTAAAAATAAAGATTTTTTTTCATACACAGTTATTATATGATACAGGGAACTGGAATCACATGAAGATAGACAAGTCCTGTACTGAGAGTTTATACACTTCCATTATAACTCTGCTGCTGCAACTATATCAGTAAAATTCTTCTTGCAAACATTAATGTGTAAGCATCTTGAGGAGTTACATTAATTTAACTGTAACAATAAAATTATGCCAGTAAATTCTTCTGTATATTGATCTCTTAGATATGTATAATAAGGTAATTTTCTTCATTTTACACCAAAAACATCATAAATATTTTCTGTCCTAGTATAAAGCTCATTAGCCACCTAGAAGTTCAAGACTCCTTCATTGAAGCATTCTCTCTACTTACAATTTTTGTGAACGTGTTGGACATAATAAACATGTTAATAAAGTCTCCTTAATCTACTTGCTAGGTGGTGATAATATTAAACCCTGTTGGGATTATTTAAAATTGAAAGATAGGTACTGTTCAATGATAATCCATTTATAAAAGGTATTATAAAGGCAAATAGCATACTTAGAATATCAAACAGTAAAATGTAGACTCCAAAATAATACAAAAAGCTACATAGTCTTTAGAGACAGGTATGTAACTATTGACTTCATATCCTGACCAGTTTTTAGCTCTGAGAAACAGAACCACGATTCAGAGAAATATCACTAAAAAAATCATGATAGGGAGTGAAACAATTATAGAACATCATGATTGAAATATTAAACCATATTAAAAAAAAATCAGTAGTATGGCATGGCAGATTTCTGAGCTCTTACTTCCCTGTCCTACTTAAAGGACAAGGCAAAATTAGGCAGATCAGAAACTCTCAGGATTTGGTTGTGCTTATGAGTCTAGCAGCTCTTAAGGAGTTTTCTTCAAGCATCTGGGGAATCTTGGTCTCTTTTTTAGAAAAAGAAAATTGTCATAGTTGAGAAGATAAACTCAACAAATAAGTGGGCATAAGGGTAACAGCTAAAAAAAATAAGAAAGCAACTCGTTAATCTGTAAAAAAATAAATCTCATGACTTGAAGTAAACATTGACTATTTTCTTCATTAATTTGATCATTTGGAATTGCTTATGAAAGACAAATTTCACCATTCATTCATGGGGCTTGTTGCTAAATAATCTGGGAGGAAAAGGTTAGCAGGAGTCTGAGAAAGCTGTAACATTCAGAAGAGCAAAGCAAACGTCAAAAAAAATGGTACAAGATGTAACTCAATAAAAAAGAAAGGACACAAGATTCAGCATACAGACCAGCCCTTTTTCACCCATTTTCAGAGGTCAGATTTACAGAGGTGTTTAGTTGCACCACTGGTGAAATCCATATGAATTCCAGGCAAATATAAGTGCCCGCCTGCAGGTATCCTGGGAGACCAAGTCTGTCAGACACTCGACACAGCTCTGAGGAACCTCAAACTGGAGAGAGGGAAACCAGCCCACGCTGCACGCCGAGGCTTGGGAACTAAATTTCAATATCCTGTCCCATTTTCCCCGGTATTTTTCTGCTTTCAGACAGGGAATACATTCAGAGTTAGAAGAGGTGCACTGCAGTGAGGCTGCAGCACATCGGGCAAAAGGAATTTTATGTAACTTATCAGTAAAAAAAATGACTGCCACGGACAGCTCGCTCAACCGCAACCTTAAAAGAAAGGTGAAAGCAAACTTGTGTGTGATGTGCACAGATCTCAGAGTTCATTGTTGCTTACAGATCATTGCAGAATCTGCATAAAGTCATTAACCTACTTACAAGGTTTTTAATACATTTTCTTTAAAATATATTTTATATATACTTTACACAATATATTAAAATACATTTTAAAAAATCTTCTGCTGACTACTTATGGCATATTAATTTTGAAGTAATAGCAAGAGACCATGCCTGTTCCCAGAATGTTTTCAGCATTCATTTCAGGAAGATATCACCTATGGAAAACTACCTTATATTAGCATATTAAAAAAACCTCTTTCTTGCTATTTAGAATACTGGGGGAGCCTGGCTTGAAAATGTTTTTATCTCTACGAAAGCCCCAATAATAAAGGAAACATTTAAGTGGGGTTAAATAAAATAAAAATATATCTTTTTGCAAAATATAAAACCTATTTTAACAGCTTATACCGTTCTGTTTCTAGGCTAGAGCGATGTATTCTAATGCCTCAGAAAGCAGTGAAGCAGTCATCCCACTTACATGGCACAACATGACTCATGCAATCTGATGGGAAGTGTCCAAATGCAGGAAATCATTTAAGAAATCTGACACCTACAACATGCCCTGAAGAATTCTGAAAAAGATTTAAGCTTCTCTGAACACATCCCCTGACCTTGGTACATTGCTTCACCTTGCTAAAAACACATCCCTGGCAGTTGGGAGAGTCGACAATTAAGCCCCACGCAAAATGTTTGTCATCTACAGAGTTTAGAGGATGAACAACCACCCAGATGAACTTCCTTATTTTCCAGAATGGATTAGACCTATTCCAGGGACTAATCTTCAGGGATAGCTGAACTACAGCATTTTGTATGTGTGGCAAAGGATTGAAAAGTTCTACGTTATCCCAGTGTGAGAAGTATTTTTATCCTCATTCTGCATGCACACAGCATACATTCAGACTGCAAAGGACAACTAATGTCGCCTTGTGTTGGCCACATGAGTTCCTTGGACCATAAACCAGCATCTCCTCTGGCTGATTTTGACATTTACCTATTCAAATCTCTCCCAGTTCTGATGTAGTAAGAGGACAATATCTGTTCCTACAGGATTTCCACAAACACTGACCTATGGATTTAAGTGAAATTCCCAGAGATGTCCATTCTTCTGAATCAAGACAGCAGCATCAGAGGTAAAGAACAGAGGATTTTAATTGCAATGAAAATAAGCTCAGTATCATTTAAGTGGCTGCATACTTAGAAGAACCACCTAAGTTCAAAATGGAATACTTTGGCAAATAATGAATTTCAGGGCAAATGTTTTGTTTGCTTTTCAGACTGTAAAATAATGTACAACTATAAAGTATTTGGAAGGGTTTGTGCTCTGAGTATCCGGAGCCTTCTACAGAACGTAAAATCCTGTAACATTAAATACCAATGGCACTCTGGCTTGTAGCTTATCAATAGTTTCCTGGTTTTAGGAGTAAGTTAAGACTTTGCTGAGCAAATTTCACTGCATATATCTGATAAACTTACGTCATATCCACTGTTACGGATTCCACGTCTAGGTCTTTCTCGAGTCACAAGAAGGTCCATCTCAGTTTCTCCTGGGCTAGGACTGTTCAAAGACTGCCTGCTTCTGTACACCGAGTTCTTCATTGGTTGCCTGGAAAACATAAAACAAGAAAACAGTAAAATAAAAGGAAAGCAAAAAAAATGTCAGGCAGCAGTTTTCAATACTTACCTTTATTCTAAAATGATGAGGGTCACAAAAAAAGCCACTTTATTATAGGATATTCTTTCTATGTATATGGAAGTGCTAGAAATCAATAACGTTATTAAGATATCATTAATTTTGTTTACTCTTAAAGAAAATAAAGCTACATAAAAGACAGGAACATCATATGTGGGAGCTTATTAGTTGAAGCACGTCCCAAGAAGATACCAGAACCCTTTTAACCTCAGCTGATATGATTCAAATTCATAAAAAATAAATAGGTGTTAGTATAAAAAAATAATACACGTTGAGATTGGGAGCAGATATTTTGACTGCTGGTCCTGATCAACGAGAGAGAAGAGGAATAAAACTCCACTGAAACAAACACCCGGCAAAGTGAATGGGAAGAGTGGCAGGAGTGGGAGGGAGCTGCCTGCAAGAGGCTGTTTTTAAATAGCCAGTTTGGTAACTGGCCACAATTTTATCAGAGAGCTGCTCTCCCTGGGATTAAATCGCTTCCAGTGTAGCTCTGAGCAGCACTGGGGCATCCCTAGGTATTGAGCTTTCACCACGGAGTCCTCAGAAGCAAGGGAACAGCATATAACTCTATACCAAAAATATACGTAATCTTTCCAACACAACCATTTCTTTCCTTGTTATTGGTTATACAAACCCAAACATAGCATTTCTCTGTAAGATACAAAACATAGCTGTACTTAAGCTCTTCAGGAGTGGTTTTCAAATGGTGACACAGGAACTTCATGCTTCATCAAGCTGCATCTTTTAGGAAGGCTACATCCAAAACAAAAAAGTTTAGGAAACGCTGTTCTTATCATGTATCTGGCAGTTAGTCATTTTCATGAAGAGCTAAAAGCTGAAATTTGAAAGGGGGCTATTGAAGGGAGAAGACTTTGGTGATTTTTCCATCATTCTCCTATGCTTGCCAGGTAAGGTGAGAGAAAATGCAATGCTGTGCTAATATTTGATTGAAGGGCAAAAAATGCTAGCATTAAAGTGAGCCTGTGGCTGAGAGCTGCATTTGAGTTAATAAGCGGGGTAAAAATAAAGACTCCAGAGTTTTAAGTGTTTGAGTCTGCCTGAACTGATTACAAAGAAAGCTACTATAGTATTTGAGAAATTGAAAAGCCTAGGACCATTTCTGTAAGCGTCATAAGATGAAACCATGATATGTAGTCCGTGTTCCATTCAACAATTACAAAGACTTTATGGTTTAAATTCTAAAGAACCATCAATGTAATGAAAAGACAATACAGTCCAAATGAACTCACTGATAAAAAGTAGTAATTTTTCAGATATTACAGATTTGGTTAACAGAACTTTTTACCATGACAGATTAGAGCAGCAGAAACTGGTTTACAGAAATCCAGAAAGACAGACATTTACATGATCAGATAGGATAAAAAGTAGGAAAAAAAATGTATCAGTTTCACACTTCTGATTAAAATAAGTACTCAAGCATGCACTTGATTTTAAGGCAAGTTTCAAAAACTTCCATATGACTTTAAATCACAAATCACCATGCGCATGTTTGAAAGTCCCAAATGCACTGCCAAAGCAGAAGGCAAGCAGAGGTTTTGGAATAAATTTCCCACATAAATATAATATTGAATAAATTAAAGTGCCTTATCTTGTTTCTTCCAAAACTATACTGTCGGTACCTGCAGAAAACATGGGGAACTAGATTATGCTAAAGCTAATCGGATCTGACAATCTTTATGTTCCTACATTAAAGGTCTCTAAAATTTCATACATGTTTTACAATAGGTCCACAAATACGTAGCTGATGCAGTTGTGATATATTTTCTAAGGGATTCAAATATACAGCTCTCTAATACATGCAGATTCTTGACCTGATTACAAACTATTAAAGAAAACCCCAGAATAGTGCATATCATCAGTAGGCTCTTAAAAACTGCCTTGAGATTGCCAATTAGCTCATTTAAGAAAGTTTTACTAATGAGAAAGGAGGTATCAACACTAACAACTGGCATTCAAATGGGTTAGCAAGTGCCTTCTGGGAACCCAACTGGAACATTTTAAAACATAAATTTTGTGGTACAGCAGAAGACTCAGGTGCTAAGAGCAAAAAGCTGCTTGTTCATGAACAAATCAAATTATTTAGTGGCCATGTTTGTAAATCACTTTTAAATGCAATTTAAAACAAATCCAAAATGTAAAGGTGATCTTGAATAATGTAATCAACTGCATCTTTGTTTTCTGGAAATGCTGTAATAATGTAATTTAAGATAGTGCAATATGCATGGAACAGAAAAGAGTGGAATAGACTTTTTCCCTAGAAACTTTGAAATCTTTGATTTCCTCCTAAGTGATATTACTAAAAAAAATAATTTAATTTTTCAGCTTTTAATTGCTGGAAATACAATGATAGAAACGATGATACAAACCAGAAAAAGGTAAAAATCAAATCTTTTCAATTTTATGTTAACCTAGACTGATTTAAAAGCAATTCTATTTCATTACAGAAATGCAGTTGTATTGATTCTTTTATCCATAACCAAAACACATATTACCTTGCAGTATTATTCAAGATCTTCCTCCAGCAATATGCTTTTCTACCCATATTATTTTTAGTTAGAAAAATGAAGATGATAAAGCTGTCATGTGCACTGTAGCATATCAAGTTCAGTTCCAGGTCTTAGTTTGGAAATTTAGCATAGACTTTGGAATTAGTTTGTTTGCAAACATCTGCAACACCTGTGAAGTTCTCTAAATGCTTTGTGTCTTTACAGAAAGTACATCAGAAATCGTTCTCCCTTCTTCCTATGTAGGGATATAGACTATATATTTAACAAGTAAATCGAGCAGACAGCCTTTTATGGTTCAGCTACAGAATGAAATCATTCCTCTGTAGCAGTATACCTGCCTCCAAGCAGTTTTCATCATGCCAGTGATCACTATCTCAAATAGACTATGACAGCTTTACACAACAAATTAGAAAGCACGCAGAAAAAAAATGTATTCCAGGACTTCTCAGCACATTGGCACATGAACAAACAAACAGTATATTTAACAAAAAGCAGATGGTTAGCATTAAAGCTTCATGTGTAATCTTTTAAACATTTCCTACGTGGCATGTGACACATAATAAATATCCAAAGTAATGCTTCAGTCCATCACTATATGTACAACACATGGTCATATCAATGTTTCTACTGTCTCATTTATGTCTCCTGGACAGGCCGTGCAGACAGAGCAGGACTTCTGTGTACTGAGGGTTCAGTATCTTACCTTTTCAGTGTATTTGGAGCAATTTATTCCTCCTTCACTGGAAAACCACACAAGGAAATGATGCCCCAGACCCTCCAGCAAGGACATAATGCACAGTTAAGTCAGCATCTTTTTTCTTCATTGACCACTGCAACCCTGGGAAATGGCCCATCAAGGGCAGTATCCCTCAGTCATTTAACTCTAGACCTACAGAAGTTCATTTGATCATAGTTTTTGCCCAGGTTTTAAATCAACATGGTTTTTATACGTCCCATTATGGTCTTTTTCATCTCTGTGCCTCAAGGGTAATTGCTAAAGTTGCACTGAGTGCAAAGACTGTGTCACCACCAATGCTTTGATTGCAGTCATGATTTATGCTCATAGGAAAAGTTTGGTCTGAACTTCCCAGGAGATGGGATGCAAGATTTCACCTCCAGGCATGAGGCCATTTCCAGAGAAACTGTACTTCAGTATCGCTTTTTCTCTCATGGATCATCTGCTGCTGGTCCCTCGTTGCAATAAAAACCAGAGCCCTCATGGTGTGAGGTGCAACAGAAAACACACTCTCTTATAATCCTTCACACCTCCACCACCCCTAAGGAAGAGGAATCTACATACTGTGCCATTCCTGGGGTAGGACTGGTGTAATCTCCTCTTTTCAAAAATGTCTCAACTTGTGCTTCAGAGAGCACCAGCAGCAGAGCAGGTCCACCCACCCACCCACCCACAGTAGGCTTGGGCAGAACCAGCACGTACACTCTTCCCCTCATTTCTAAAATGGGGAGATGAGTATTACTGGTGTGCCATCTTCAAGAGACAGTGAAGTGTTAATCAAACATCAGTGCTGTTATACAATATACCAACTTCACATCACAGATGATAACATTTTTACTTTCTCTGTTAAAAGCACAGGGAGATCACCAGTAACAGGTACACACACATCCATACAGACACCATCCCTGCAGGAGTTACTGGAATACATGGACAATGTACTGGTTATCTCATGCCTACTGCAATAGTCATATTCAGATAAAAATAATGACAAAATAACAATATCACTGAACTTTGGAAAAGAATTAATTCAGATGCTAACTTCCAGGCTTAAGTCCACCTTCAGTATTACCAAAAAAATTACTACCACTTTTGCTATTTATCCTACTTGGAACGTGACTCACAAGAACTTGCGACAGTCCTTTCCCTTATTTTTCTGTCTTTCCATTACTTTCTTTTTAACCACATTGCAGTTTTAACAGATAACATACTTTCATAAATAATCATGGGTGATATGAATTTTCTGATTGCAGTATGAGAGACCAGCTGACCATACAGCAAACAGCTGGCTCATTAAGAGCACCTCTTTGATTCCCTACAACCCCTGGACATCAACTTTCCTCCCAGATGAAGAACTGCATATAAAAAGTCTCACCTGTTCTTAGGCTCAGCAAATGGAGACGAGACATCTGCATCTGGATCCAAAATGTGGTCAAATTCTTTCTGGTTTTTTTCATACATCCTTTTTCTCTCTGTCAGACCCTTGTTGTTATCAACCTGTGGGAAATCATAGTACCCTTTCCTCTTGGCTTTCAAGCGCAGCTTGTTGCGGTAATGTTCTATATCAGACTTCTGTTTCAAAGCCTTGTTCACCTAAAAGGCAAAAAGATGTTTAAAGGATGGTTCTGGGCTGGCTACTTCCAAACGGTATTGTTGGAGTGTGTGTGATACACTGCGTGTGTCATTTTACAGAGCACTTTTTGTACCGCACCGTGCCATCTGCAAGCAGCAAGGAACTGCAAGTGAACAGAGTCGCTGCATTTTTATGGCTTGGCAGATGGTTAAATAATTTTAGCCTAAAAACTATGTACCATCACAACAGTGACTCAGATACACCCACTGAAGAAAAACACTGATGATGTTAGCCAATTGTCGTGACCCAACACCGTGCTTGCTTTTGGGCATCACAGGGAGAACTCACTGCTGAAAACTATTCTAGGGTCCCCTAACTACAGAGACATCGTCCCTCACTACACAAAACCTTAAATAAGTCACCACTGGTGGATGGGAGAGAATTCTAGTGAAATATCATCATATGTTCCTCTTATTTATACGCTTCCTTACAAATCTGTTATAGGCCTGTGTCAGACACAGAATCCTTACATAAATGGATTTGGTCTGACACAAATGTGTTTGGTCTGACCTGATAAAGGTCAGGTCCCATGGATGCTCCTAAGCATTGGGATAATTTCCCTCCTGCTTTAAATCGTCAGTTACATGGAAATGAGAAATTTACTTGGGCTTTGTGCTTCCAGAGTCAAATTCTACCCTCTTCTCACCAATCTCAAGAAGTGTATGTGCAAGAAAGCACCCAGCACCAGGACTGCCATCCTGTTGACTTACAGAAAATAGATGCAGAATCTAAATAAGTCTTTCGCTGGGTTTGGAAACTACATGGTGTTTCAGGGCTTAAAATACAAGTACAAAATGGAGCACGGCAGACTGCTCTAATCCAGGCCCACATGGGAAGCCTGATGACACTGTCTTTTACCGTGTCTCTGGCAGCAGCCCTCCCTGTTGCTTTTAAATAGCATCAGGGAGATTCTGGCTGATCTTTAAATGACTGTTGCAGTGTAAATTTGCAAACAATACACCTCTCTGGCTTGTCCTCATCATGTTTAACAATTATATAAAAGCCTCTGTCCTTTGTAAATGGACCAGTCTTGATTAACTCTACATAAAAACATGAACAACCATACAAGTTTTGGAGGCAAAGCATGGTTTATGGCCAGCGCCTGGATCAGACATTTGTGCCAACACACTGTGCCCAGGCTGAGATGCACCTGAGCAAAGCAATGGTCCTGTTGGAGTGTGTTTGATACACCCCTTCTTACTCTGAATGAGATGTATTGCTCAGTATAGAAAGATCAGCCTGGGACTAGGGTGATGTGTTCAGCCACAGTGTTCATATAGACAAAGATCCTGTTCTGCTCTCTGCCTTCATTATTCACGTTGTTAAAAGTAATAGGATAGGAGAGAAGGATACTGAGAAGGTGGGAATATAGACAGTTGCTTTTTCCAAATGTCACATGCGTTCACAGATGCATTGCAAAAGAGCAGATCTTAAATACTCAGACCCCTGAGCCCACAACGCTAATGGGATTTTATATAGCATCAGGGTGAAAAGCTCCTACCACTCCTCAGCTCTAACAGGCTTACAATTGTTCCACCTGTGGATGTAGCCAAGGAAACAACCGGAGGCATTACGAGACAGTGCTTACCTCTCCATTAATGATAGCAGATTCCTGGCTCCTGTCTGATGCAGCATGAACAGCAGGGAGTGCCACGGGTTTGATAGCTATCAGCTGGACCGATCCAGAAGAGGTGTCGAAAGGGTCAATGGCAGATTTGGCAATGTTATCAAAGAGAATGCCTCCTTCCTCTTCATCACTTATGGGCACTAGAGCACATCAAACTTGTTCAGCATAAAGACACGGACATTTTTAAAGCATGTTCAAGGTGAAATTCAGTGAGCACATGCTTTAGATTAATGATGTGTTCAGTACAGCCCAGGAGCAGACCTGGGAGACCTTTACACCTTAATCCCAGTAGATTACAGACAACATTATGTATTCAAAAGATTATCTGGTACTCCCCCAAAGAAGGTTGAATTCTAATCTGCACTAGTAAGATGAAAAAAAAAAAAAAAGAATGACACAGAAAATTGTACAAAAATGACCACAAAATTCAAAGTACATCTTTCCTAGGTTTCACATGGACACAATGTGTGCATACACAGAGGAGTCTTCACATGCCAAGGCATCAGCAGTTACACCTGATCTAAGCCAAGAGTGCAGCTTTTTTTTTTGTCTTATACTGCAAGAACGTGGGCATTCTCAAAATCTGAAAAATAAACCTACTGATTTTAGCAAAAGTTAGTAATGCTAAAAATGCCGTGTCTTAAAACAAAAGCATTACCGTTGTGTGTTAAAACATGCTTAAGAAACTGATGGTTATACTTATAAAAATAACTTACTGGGATTTTTTTGCTTTGCAAAGCAGTACCTCAGGTGGCTCTAAAGCTAAACCATTAAAATTTCTTAAGAGACAGGAGAAGGCTTGTGAAAAATCTTTAAAATTAAAGGGCACAGGGAAGCACCTTTAGTTTTAGATTTCTATATAAGTGGAAAACTCACATACAGTTGGGTCCTTTCTCCTCCAGATTTTATGAACTTGCATCATCTTGTCAGCTGTTGAATCTTAAACCTTTTATCCTCATTTTGGAATAAAAGAATGACTCTAAAGCATGAGCACAAATTCTACAAAGAGATTGTTGCAAACATTTTTGAATAATTATGCTATTAGAGGGAAGAATGTTTGCTCGATCTCCTAACTGACAGGAGCAGAGATCCTCTGCTCAGGAACAAAGTGGTCTGCTCTAAATTTATTTCCTCTGAAAATACACTCTGTTTTAATATTTAATCACTGCACAAATTACAATGGACTTGTATAAACTCAAGCAGCTTAAACAGCCAGTGATTTTGGTAAGAAAATATTTGACAGTGGTAACATAAAATATGAACCCACTGAGTCAGCTTATTATCTTTCTGTCTGTACTCTGTCTGGCCTGGAGTTGACACTAGTTGAGCTTTTGAGAAATAGATGGGTTAAATGACTCTGTCATTAAACATTGTCCCTCTGGCTCCACAGCACTGTCCAAATATGACAGGCGAGTCTTTAGTGGGTCTGAAATTCCCTGGTCCCTCCTGGGGTTGTTCAAACACTCTGAATTTGTATGCTCACCAGAGTGAGTGGATCACAAGCCTGGCTCACTGAAATTAACTGCTGAACTCCCACTGACGACCATGCCACCAGGACACCACACCACAAAATCAGATGAACCAGGACATACTTGCCTGTCACAGACCGCCCTTTAATAGGAGAGCATTTACTTTATAATAAGCATAAAAATGAAGCATGGAGGGTCTTCCCTCAGGGCATTTTGAATCAGTGCAGTTCTCATGTAAGTCACCAGATGCAGTTCTGGGAGATGGGTGTTGTCTGTAATTCACCACCAAGACTTCCACACTACCCTAACAAGGTACCTCCATTGTGACATGACTATGTCCAAGAGAGAAAAAGTTTGCCTGAATTGTATTTTTCACCAACAAAGATGGTCTGTCATGATGATTACAGTGCAGGTGAGCCTGGATAGTACCTCATCAGTGGTCCAAAGTACCAAGAAGTTGTGGAATCCCTTCCCTTGGCTGCGTGTCTCAGCATTTCCCTGAGCCAGGCACGCCCAAAAACCCTGGCTAAGCATCAACGTGCAAAACATGATTCCTTCCAAACATCCCCAGTGTGCTCTCCTTCAAGCAGAAAGCACTGAGAAGTGCAGCTGCGTTTCCACCCCAGTGTTTCAGAAGAACTATGCTTGCTGAGACCTTGGCAGTGATCTCCAGGCACCCACAGAGAGCACGTCTAGCTACAGATGCGTGGCTTATCTCCTCAGTCCTCATTTCAGGCTCAGAAACCAAGAGTTTTGCTTAATTAAACAGAATTCCTCTGGTTCAAAGACTCATTAAAGAAGAAAAAAATTAAGGGTAAAGACAATCAGGCATGACAGATGACAGCTACTTCTTATGTGGTATAATGCCAAAGAACACCCTCACTATATCAGCCCTCATTTGTGAGCACATCTCCTGCATCTTCGGCAGTGCTATTGGCATGGAAATAATAGTCAAATGGGACTAGAAACTGGAAGTCTATTCCACCTTAAACTTAGCATTTGCTCATTAATTGGTATTTATATTATAAAAGTAGGTTTTCCCATTGCCCTTTTTTCACCAATGAGTGATAAAGACAGTCTGTGATGTGCAGTTACTGGCACACTGCGATAGTTTCTATTGGCAGTGAACCATAAGCAATTACTAGGGGAATTTTAATATTTGCTCTGATTCACTCCTTTTTGAGAGAATTTACAGCAAGTGTTTGTAACACAACTGAACCACAGCAAGCTCTAAATTTTGAAAAACAAACCAAAGGGAGTTCAGAGAGAAGAAGGAGTCCTGGAGTGTTTGTTTCTGCTGTGTGTCCCTGTCCTGGGCCAGCCCGCTCATCCAAACACCTCAGCTGGGCGAGGGAGCAATGGGCACAGGAAACTTCAGAAAACTGCCCAGCTGTTCTCTACAGTCACTCACCATAAACATACTTGCTCATTATAATTAGAAACACAGATTTAAAACAACATTTTTAATTTCTGCTTTTAAACAAATGCATACCAACGTTCTTATGAATTCATTGTTCTTTTACTCTTGCTTGTACTGTCTGCATGCACACATAGAGAGGTTTAGATATCTCAGAAGTGGCAGAAAAGGGCAAAAAAGTGACTTAATCTCCTACTTAACAGTAACTTCACATCTCTGAAACATCTTGTGCTAGATATCTCATGCCACATGATCCACTGAGACTGAATTACTCCTCCTAATCTTCCTGTGACTGAAGTACGTGAAGATATATCCAAAGCAATCATTTGTTCAGGTTGAGTGCCAATTGCGGTGAAGCGTTGGGTTTTTGACAAACAGGACCATCGCTGAAGCTTTGTCTCCACATCACTGCAGCTATGAGTATATAAGATTTGCTAGATTAAAGCTGTTTCAGGGATGCTAGCCTCCAGTGTGGGTGCAGCTCTGCGCTATCTCCAGCTGGTGATGCCAGCAGGTGGTGCTACCCACTCGTGCCACCGGTGCCACCTATAGCTCTGAATGGTTAAGAAATTAATAGACAGGTGGAATATTCTACTTTTATCTAGTTATTAATTTATATTAAAAAATAGTTATACTTTTGTCAGCCTAAGATTTTGATATGAAGGCCATACAAGATTTCTTCTCTCTTTCCCTCCACCTTGCCTTTCCTCCCCTCTCCCAAATCAAAATATGTTTGAAGGAAGAAAAGGACAACTGAAATGTTTACCTGTAAAAAAAAATATTTTTTTTTTTTTTTTTTTAAAAAAAAGGGTAAAGAAATCTAGATTACCTGCAGGTCAGGTAACCTTACAGCAAAATACTTGAAACAAAGATTGTGCCATTTGACTGACTTTGGAAGCTCTCAAGAAAAAGAAAAACATAAATGGAAAAAACATGTGAAGCCAAAACATGGCAAACACTCACAAGCAGGTAGACATGCTCTGCCTTCTCTTAGGTCATTCAACGAAGCATTAAAAATTTTAAAATATTTATTTTGTATCAAGGTAATGCAAATATTATAACCATATCTATAGTGTGCAATGACTTGTCTGAGTAATGGAAGGGCTTAAAATAATAAGAAAACAAATAGATTATATTAAATGAAAATCATATGTTTGACAAAGAGTAAACTATTCCACAGATCTAAACGACTGTCGCCTTAGGAAAAAGCCCATGTATGAAGATTTAAAAAAAATATTCTGACTCCTGAATGTAAATTAATAGTGGGGAAATAATTTTCATTTTAAAGAAAAATCTCTGTATATGGAAAAATAAATGAAAAATTTCTACATTATCTAAATCAATCAATTTTTCAGTTGACTATCTCCAAGAAAGTATGAGCAAGAGCTCTTTGCAATAAAGAACTGTATGCTTCTGAAGGAGTTTGTAAGCCGCTAAGTAAAATGCAAGTTTCATAGCATCAGCATCTGAACCTATTCAGGACTGAAATACCTCTCTGCAGGACACTGCAGTGTAACAGAAATCATACTTGTGTACAGACACACACTCTTTCCAAAATACACCCAACCGTGAGACGGTGTGATTCTAAGCTTTTCAGGAACAGTACAAATGCTATATTTTCAGAGAAGCAGACAGTTTACAGAGTAATAGAAACAGCTCATGATTCCTCCTAGATATTATTTTCTCATATGCAAAGTCTGCTAAATGCCAGGCCAAATGTCTGAGGTGTTGCAGTCCTGGATTTGCCTGGGAGCCTGAAACAGGAATTACGCGAGCCGGTTGTTCGAGATCTCTAAATTCACATTTGCAGGGTTTTTATGAAATACCTGAATATTTCACGAAAGCTTGTTTCATTCACTGTCTATGAAGGTTTCTTGTCCTTATAAGCAGAAGCAAGGAAATTTCTCTCTGTGGTTATGCCTTCTCCTCCAATCACATCTGCCTCATCTATTTAAATATCAAAGTCTTTCAAAAAGAGACCATATATTTCATCATGTTTGTAGAGAATCCATCAGCCCCTTTGCTTGGCTGGCACTTCTGTAATACATCCTAGGCATGTTCAATAATTTGAAACAATTATTTAACTGACCTCAGCTGGGCGAGGGAGCAATGGGCACAGGAAACTTCAGAAAACTGCCCAGCTGTTCTCTACAGTCACTCACCATAAACATACTTGCTCATTATAATTAGAAACACAGATTTAAAACAACATTTTTAATTTCTGCTTTTAAACAAATGCATACCAACGTTCTTA